CAAAAGAATTTGTGGATTGCAGATTTTTATTGAAAAATGAGAGAGATTTGAACAAATCGAGTTTTCCTGGCTATTTACAGGTTTGGAGGTTGAAGATGGAAAGTTTTCATTTTAGTCACGTGGTCATAACATATTTCAATTTGGTCCCACATATAGGTAATGGTTTTTTCAATTACATCCTTATTTTTCATTGCTTTAGCACCACATGCCACGTTTAGATTTAGTAATATTCCTGTTTCAATCCCTAAAATTCATAATTTTATCAATATAAACTCTACAGTTTCCAAAAAGCTTGAACGCAATGCCCAATCAATTGGCCATTCAGTTGCTCACATTAAACTAATGGCAAGCTCACATTGAGATTTTCTTTTTCGAGTTATTATCTTTTAGTAAATAAACAAAAGGATGAGAAACCAAAAAATAAAAAAAGGCATTCCATTAGGTATACTGAAACAGCTAGGAGAAATATTAATTAAAACTTTTTAAAAAACTATAGACTTAACTTTGAAAAAATTTAATCTATAAAGGTGGAAAAGGAATGTTATTGAATTTATAATGGCTTACAATACAATTTACTCATCAAAGAGCTTATAGTTTAATGATAGTAATCTCTTACAACAAGAAGTTATAGGGGTTCAAATCTTAACATACCGGTTCTGTTAAGAACTTTATGTGTGTGAGTTAAAAAAAAAAAAAAAAGACAATACACTTCACTCCAAAAAAAATTACTATAGATTTTTTTTATTCATAGGATATCTCGGGTTTAAAAACTTAGAATAATCTTTGATATTATGTCGAACGTCCAAAATAAACAGAGCTACCTAATAAGTTTTTGCATATATATAAGAATTCGAATATGAAACTATTTGTTTAACCAACTAGAGTTTCTTTTATTCAAATCAATCTCATGGATGAATATTACTTTATGTTATTTAAGGAATCAAACAAACAAATCAACGTTTCACACTAGGATAATGCTAGGGTATTTCGGTAAGTTTCATTTATTAAATGATGTGATATTTATAATAAAAGAATTTCAAATGATGGAATGTAGATCTATCACATTTATTTCAAATCATAAATATAGATATTTTCATATTTAATAGGATGATTATAATTATGATTTTGTCACATTTATTTCAAGTCGTAGACTTACATAGACTTATTACTCCGGGCCAGGGGACACCAAGTTTGGCTTCTTTTTTTTCTAATAATTTTTTTATATTATTTTGTGCAAGAATATTACTTTATATTATTTAAGAAATCAAACAAACAAATAAATATTTCACACTAAGATAAGGTTAGGGTACTTAAGGAAGTTTCATTTATTAGATGATGTGACATTTATAAGAAAGGAATTTCAAATAATGAAACATAGGCCTATCACATTTATTTCAAATCATAGACATAGATATTCTCATATTCAATGGGATAATTATAATTATAATTTTTTCACATTTATTTCAAGTCATAGGCTTGCATTGACCTATTACTCTAGGTTAGGGAGATCTAGTTTGGCTTTCCTTTTTTCTAATAATAATTATTATTATTTTGTGCTAGAATATTACTTTATATTATTTAAAGAATCAAAGAAACAAATAAATGTTTCACATTACGATAATGCTAGGGTACTTCGGGAAGTTTCATTTATTAAACGATGTGATATTTATAAGAAAGGAATTTCAAATAATAGAAGGTAGGCTTATCACATTTATTTCAAATCATAGACATAGATATTCTTATATTTAATGGGATAATTATAATTATGATTTTGTCGCATTTATTTCAAGTCATAGGCTTGCATGAACCTATTACTCCCGACGAGGAGAGACCTAATTTGGCTTCTTCGTTATTTTAAATAATTTTTTTATTATTTTATGCAAGAATATTACTTTATATTATTTAGGAAATCAAACAAACAAATAAACGTTTCACATTATGATAATGCTAGGGTACTTCGGAAGTTTCATTTATTAAATGATGTGACATTTAAATAAAAGAATTTCAGATAATGGAAGGTGGACCTATCACATTTATTTCAAATAATAGACATAGATATTCTCATATTTAATGAGATAATTATGATTATGATTTTGTCGCATTTATTTCAAGTCATAGGCTTGCTTGGACCTATTACTCCAAGAGATTTAATTTGGCTCCTTTTTTTTTGAATATTTATTATTATTATTTTGTGCATGAATATTACTTTATATTATTTAAGGAATCAAACAAATAAACGTTTCACATTAGGATAATGTTAGGATACTTCAGGAAGTTTTATTTATTAAATGGTGTGACATTTATAAGAAAAGAATTTCAAATAATGGAAGGTATGCCTATCACATTTATTTCAAATCATAAACATAGATATTCTCATATTCAATGGAATAATTATAATTATGATTTTGTCGCATTTATTTCAAATCATAGGCTTGCATTACTCCATGCCAAGGGAGATCTAGTTTGGCTTCTTCTTTTTTTGAATAAAGTTTTTTATTATTTTGTACCAGAATATTATTTTATATTATTTAAGGAATCAAACAAATAAATAAACGTTTCACACTAGGATAATACTAAGGTACTTTAGGAAGTTTCATTTATTAGATGATGTGACATTTATAAGAAAAAAATTTAAATAATGGAAGGTAGGTCTATCACAGTTATTTCAAATCATAGGCGTAGATATTTTCATAGTTAATGGGATAATCATAATTATGATTTTGTCGCATTTATTTCAAGTCATAGGCTTGCATAGACCAATTACTCCAAGCCAGGGAAGACCTAGTTTGGCTTCTTCTTCTTGTTTTTTTCTAATAATTTTTATTATTAGTTTGTGTACTTTATATTAGTTAAGGAATTAAACAAACAAATAAACATTTCACATTAGGATAATGCTAGGGTGCTTCAAGAAGTTTCATTTATTAAATGATGTGACATTTATAATAAAAGAATTTCAAATAATTGAAGATAGACCTATCACATTTATTTCAAATCAAACATATAGATATTCTCATATTTAATTGGATAATTATAATTATGATTTTGTCGCATTTATTTCAAGTCATAGGCTTGCATGGACCTGTTACTCCAGGCGAGGGGAGATCTAGTTTGGCTTCTTTTTTTTTTTTTTTTTTTTTTTCTAATAATTTCTTTCATTCTTTTGTGCCATAATATTACTTTATATTATTTAATGAATCAAACAAACAAATAAACGTTTCACACTAAGATAATGCTAGGGTACTTCAGGAAATTTCATTTATTAAATGATGTGATATTTATAAGAAAAAAATTTCAAATAATGAAAGGTAGGCCTATCACATTTATTTCAAATCATAGACATCGATATTCTCATAGTTAATGAGATAATTGTAATTATGATTTTGTCGTATTTATTTCAAGTCATAGGCTTGCATGGTCTTATTACTCTAGGTCAGGGGAAACCTAACTTGGATTTTTTTAAAAAAATTTTCTAATAAATTTTTTTATTATTTTGTGTAATAATATTACTTTATATTATTTAAGGAATCAAACAAACAAATAAATTTTTACACTAGGATAATGCTAAGGTACTTTAAGAAGTTTCATTTATTAAATGATGTGACATATATAAGAAAAGAATTTTAAATAATGGAAGGTAGGCCTATCATCTTTATTTCAAATCATAGAAATAGATATTCTCATATTTAATGGGATAATTATAATTATGATTTTGTCGCATTTATTTCAAGTCATAGGCTTGCATGGACTTATTACTCCCAGCCAAGGGGAGACCTAGTCTGGCTTCTTTTTTTTTGTCTAATATTTTTTTAATTATTCATGCAAGAATATTACTTTATATTATTTAATAAATAAAAAAATAAATGTTTCACATTAGGATAATGCTATGGTACTTCAGGAAGTTTCATTTATTAAATGATGTGACATTTATAAGAAAAGAATTTCAAATAATGGAAGGTTGCCTTATCTCATTTATTTCAAATCATACACGTAGGTATTCTCATATTTAACCAGATAATTATAATTATGATTTTGTTGCATTTATTTCAACTCATTTGCATGGACCTATTACTGACGGGGAAGACCTAGTTTGGCTTCTTTTTTTTGTTTGACATTTTTCTAATATTTTTTTTTTATTTTGTGTCAAGATATTACTTTATATTATTTAAGAAATCAAACAAACAAATAAACATTTTACACTAGATAATGATAGGGTACTTTAGGAAGTTTCATTTATTAAATGATGTGACATTTACAAGAAAGGAATTTCAAATAATGAAAGATAGGTTTATAACATTTATTTCAATTATAGGCATAGATATTCTCGTATTTAATTGGATAATTATAATTGTGATTTTGTTGCATTTATTTTAAGTCATAAGCTTGCATGGACCTATTACTCCAGGTCAAGGGAGGCCTAGATTGGCTTCTTTTTTTTTTTTTTTGATTTTTTCTAATATTTTTTTATTGTTTTGTGGAAAAATCATAGAAGGTAGATTGTTATTTTTTGAGTTTTTCATACATTTTTACTATAAAAATATGTTTTAAATTATATTATTCTCATTATTTAAAATTTATTTTTAATTTGTTATTGTTTTTGATAAATTTAGTTTAATTTTTTTAGAAAATTTATTTATCTCTCTCTCTCTATATATATTTTGGAATAATTTTTTTCTTTTCTTTTTTTAAAATTAATCGATATAATTTATTACTGTTTAACAAAAAAATGAAGAGTCAACAAAATATATCTGAGAGACGGAGTAAACTAAAATAATAATAGAAGATATATTAAGTTCTCGCCACTCCACTCCAAAAGCTCTTCGTTCTTATAACTTTTTAAATTTATTTATTCCCATTTTTGTCTTTTTACGACTCCGATTATATATTTGTATTATTTGCCGGACTTACTGTTCATAGACTATAGTATTTATTAGCAAATCATTTCTTGCATCTAAAACCGATTTAGTTACAAAGCATCCTTCAAAAATTCTCTCAAAACCGCCATGGCGGCCACCGGTGGTTGTGTTGTTTTTTCCACGGTGGTCCGCTCCTCCCAACTAACACCGTCACCAAATTTCAAACTGAATCCGAGTCAAAGGCGATTTGCTGTTTCCAGCGAGAGTCAGTTTGCGACGACAGTTAGAACTGATACGAAAAGAACGACTAGTTTTAGAGAGAATGGGATTTTCAAAGATAAACACAAAGAAGAAGCGATAGAGAGAGTAACGGAAAATAAGCAAAAAAATCCATACCTGCTGGAGTTGGAGAGGAATGAAAGTGAAGAAAATAGGAGTAGAAAGAATCTTAAGGATTACTTTGACGAGTCAAAGAATCTGATCAGATCAGACGGTGGTCGTGGTCCGCCTAGATGGTTCTCTCCGTTATACTGTGGGTCCCGCTTGGACGATTCTCCTCTCCTCCTCTATTTGCCTGGTGAGTCAGTCTCTGTTCTTTTTTTACTTCATTCATTTCAAAAAATCTGTTGAACTTTTTATTGGATTTCGTCACTGGTCTTTTCGAGTTTTTCTCTACGAGTTTTGATTGGTTGTGAGTTGCGTCTTGCGAGAGATATGTAAAGGAGGTAATAATAGCTTCTCTTTTTTATATTGGTTTAGACAGACCCCCGCCTTTTCCTCATCTTAATCACACAAAATTAATTTTAATCTCTCTCTCTCTCTCTCTCTCTCTCACAGAGAGAGAGAGAGAGGGTCGCACATCAATGTTGTTGCAACAGCAGTAGGTTAAACTACATTTTATAATGGGTTCCATGACAGAATTTTGTAATGACAATGCATTATTATTTGTCATTAGGAAATTGTAAGTGAAGTTGTGTAATTTTTTTCTATGATTAAGTAATTTTCTGTAAAAGTATTATTACGAATGATCAAGTTCATGTTATTAAGTCAATATAAATTTTCTCTTAAAAAATAAGGGTAAATAAGTTAATTTGTTATTATATAATAGTCTGAGTCTTCAATTTGTCTGGATATTTTTAATTGCTACATATTGTTTTAGTCTTCACTTTGTCATTTCGATCATTTTTTTTACCATGAACAAATTTTCAAATCGAAATGCCCTCGATTGAATGCAAAAAAAAAAAAAAAAGCCTTAAAATCACATGACTTTTATGTTTTATTTTTTTATTTTTTGCATTTTAATTAGAGATATTTCGATTTAAAAATTTGTTCATGATCGGTAAAATTGATCAGAAAGACTTATTGAAAATTTAAGTATTATTTAAAGACATAATACATGCAATTAGAAACATAAATACACATTGAAGACTCATGCTATTATATAAGGATAAATTGTGCTATTTATACTAAATGTAATTTATGGTGATATTATATCTTAAGTTTTTAATTCGAGGAAAGATGTTAAAATTTTTTTTTCTTATAAATATATTAATTTATGTGTGGGTGGCCTGCTTAAGAGCGTTCGAACAAGGGAGTAGAAGTACTTGATCTTGATATTCAAAAGTCGAACTGAAGATACCTGGTTTTCTTTTTTTTTTTTTTTTTTTTTTGAAAAAAAAAACGAGAAAGAAAATTATATCACCTAAAAGTGCTTTTCTGTGACACGAACCAAGATAAAAACGTATTAAAGATATATGAAATACCTAGCATTAAGAGTAGATGGTAAGGTTTGAATTTGGATTATGAATGGAAAAAAGACCACCTATATTACTATGATGCCTTCATTACATGCATTTCCAAAGGAATTAAAACTAGCCTTTCGGGTAATTTTAAAATTTCATTCATAGAGTTAAACCTTTTCCAATTAAATCCTCAAAATTTTGATATTTTTCAATCTAGTCCTGTCACTAGCATATCTATGAGAATAGAACTGTTGAGTTATTTTGCAAAACCTGTCATTCTATGAAGATGGTAGATGAAGCAGTTAAAGAGAACATGTTTTTGTTAGTGTGCAATGAGCAGTTATCTATCATTATATAATTTGGTCCTCTTTGCTCATGTATGTGAGTCCATTCACTTGTATGCAACCCTTGCAATGGGGACTTCCAAAAGGGCATGTGCCGTACAATACAGAGGCACTTTCTCTGGTAATGGCGATTATGTAGAAATAGATTGTTGCTTTCTCTTAAAGTTAAGTTTGCAAAATTGCTTGAGCTTAATTTTCTGATTCATTTTTTGTTGTGCTTCTTTTTCCAAAAGGGTAAAAAATTGTGGTAGTCATCTCATTTTTTTTCTTTGCTGGTCATTACAATATTGCTGTAGAAAAATTCTGAATTTTGCAGGAATCGATGGTGTCGGGCTAGGGCTTATTATGCATCATCAAAGCCTTGGAAAGTAAGTATTCTGATCAAGTGTACCATACTTGTACAATGAGTAATGAGAATGTTGCTACCTAATATGTGGTTTTTTCCTTTGAAACTAGGATTTTCGACTTATGGTGCTTGCATATTCCAGTCAAGGATAGAACATCATTCACCGGTCCTTTTCCCTTCACTCTGTCGCTAGTTCACACATTTTATGAAATCGACAGCAAGTATAAATAAAACCATTGACTTTTTGGTTTTTTTTTTTTTTTTTTTTCAATCTTAATGGTTCAGGCCTAGTGAAGTTGGTAGAACAAACAGTTAGATCAGAGAACTACCGTTCACCTAATAGACCCATATATCTTCTCGGAGAATCTCTTGGAGCATGCCTTGCACTAGCTGTTGCAGCTCGTAACCCTGATATTGATGTTGTACTTATTTTGGCCAATCCAGGTAAAAAATTGCCCTTCTACTGTTGATGAAAGTTTTGACAGACATTGTCCCTATGTGTGAGTGTTTGGATGTTACAAAGATTTTTCAGTTATTAAGCAAGAAACCATACAAGTATTTGAACAGAAAAAATGTGTATTTACCATTGGAGTTACCAAATTGAGAATAAGTTCTAAGAGTAACAGCAGTCACTGAATTTCAATGGTCTAATGCAAGAGGCTGGTTAACACTTGGTGAACCAAAGAGGTGGATTTATTCCTTGTTGTTTGATACGTCATTCACTCAATAAATATTTATTTGTTCACGTTTTTATTGCAGGAACGTCTTTTGAGAAATCACGATTGCAACCTCTCATACCTCTATTGGAAATAATACCCCTTCAATACCAGCTTAGCCTTTCTTATATGCTGAGCTCCATGACAGGTTCATCTTTGTGGTCAACTCGAGCCACAGATTTTGCTAATTGCTTGAGATATTTATTTATTTATTTATTTTACAAATAACATGTTAGGTTGGGTTACATAGATGCATGGGCACTGTCATGCTTGCTTCTAAAAGGTGGGATAACTTTGACTCGTTTGTAAATAGTTGATAAGAAAATAAAAAATAAAAAATATTTATGTCATATTGTGATGGAGTTGGATCGTGATAAATGAGTGTAAAAGCCAATTTATAGTCCGCATATTGTAAGAAGTTTCAGTCAGTTGCCTGGTGAATTTCTTCTAACTCTATGGATAGAAGATTATTTGCCAGTCCTTTGATTATGATGGAGTCTTTCAGATACCAGTTGAATTTCACCTCACAGAAATATGATAGTTAAACAATATGTGATCCGATACTAGTGGAGAGTAGTTGTTTGGAAATGTGGTCAAAGTTGGAAGCATGATGAACAGTTAGATTTCTGCCATTTTTTTTTCCTTTCATTCATTTTTCTTTTCAGTAGAGATTGAGGGTGTAAATAGCTGAGCCATTACATGTTGTTGTGGTCTTACACTAATTTTTATCAAACTTATCATAATATAATTCATAAGTGTAATCCATATATGCCCGATAGATGATAGATGAATCATAATAGGTTTGGTTTCGGATTTTGAACATCTGGTTTGAGATCAATGCTATGCCTAATTGAAATTTTCTTGAGAGGTGTTTTTCAAAGATAAGATTTGCATGAGAGGTCTGTTGATTTACATGTTAAAACATAGCAGATTAAGTATTACACACAATGCTTTCCCCAATTGATACCAGCTATCGCATCGCATGTGTTTAGGTGATCCTTTGAGGATGGCAATGGACAAGGTAGTGAAGGGACTTCCTCTACAACAAACAGCTGAAGGATTATCAAAAGATGCTTTTGCAATGTCATCATATGTAGATGTAAGATACACGTTAGGTTATTTGAAATAAGTGCCTGTCATATTTAACTCGTAAAATACAGTGTGCATATCCATAAACTTTGTCTTTAGCATCTCCTGTAATGGATGATGTAGCATGTATTTCGATCCATGCATCTTCTGACTTCAGAAAAATAATCATGTTGCACATCTATTGGAGTTTATGTGGTCTGTTGAAGTTTATGTTTAGATGATAGAGATGTCTTGTGTACTTGTCTTGATTCTGACTCTAGGCCATGTTTGTTACCAGTGGAAAAGAAATTGATAATTATGTCACAGGTTCTAGCTAATATCTTACCCAAAGAAACGCTTCTGTGGAAGCTAGAGATGCTTAAATCCGCTTCAGCATTTGCCAATTCACGCCTCCATGCCGTGAAAGCTCAAACACTGCTACTTACCAGGTCCAACTCTTTGCATAATCTATCCCATTGTAGCTTAAGTAGAATATAGAACTCATGGAACTATTTTTATTTTTTCCTTTGCGCTTTACCCAATAGTTTAACAGCAATAAAAGCACAAGAATTCATTCCCTTCCACCTCCACCTAAAAAAGAAAAAAAGAGAAAAGAAGACATAGGAGCTTTTTCTAGATCTACAATATGAACTCTAATGTAGAGCTAGTTTCAAATAAAAAGGGTTTTCCAATTTCACTAAAAGGAGTTCTCTTGTCTTCCCTAATGCTAAAAAAAGGTTGTCTCAACCCCTAGAGCATAAAAAAGACAAAGTGACTAGGAAGCTGGCTTTGAAATCTGAATTATCCACTTGAAGTTTAATTGATGATAAATCTACATGCAATGTCTTATTATAGTTTTTTAATCTTTATTTAAGGATTGTCAACATCATGGTTCCTGCATGATGCTAGAATGTTTTCTGCTTTCAATTTGATTTTTCTGGAATGATGGGGTTGAGTTTGCCGTGTTGTTTTTAGTGGGAGGGATCAGTTACTACCAAGTGAAGATGAAGGCAAAAGACTTCTCCATGCACTTCGAAAATGTGAAATTCGTAGGTTTAATGACAATGGTCATTACCTATTCTTGGTATGATAAACTCTCTCCTTGTCAATATTGTGTTTATAAATATAGAAGATATTATGTTTCAATTGCTATATTGCAAGTTTTCTTTTGATATATGTAATAGTTATGCACCGTTGTGCAGGAAGATGGTGTTGATTTGGTGAGTGTCATCAAAGGTGCTAGTTTCTATCGCCGCGGTAAATGCCATGACTACGTTTCTGATTATATACCTCCAGCCCCTTCTGAAGTCAAAAAAATGTGGGAATCAAACAGGTAGCCTATTTACTAACTTAAAACTACCTGTTACCATAGTTGGTGGTTAGCAGCTGCAGCTAAAGCTCAAATGTCTTCCTAAGATTAATTGAGTTGTTGTGGAATCAGATTTATGATGAATAATATTCTCATATTACCATGTTTCAGGTTGTTTATGCTTACTACCAGCCCTGTAATGCTTTCAACTTTAGAAGACGGGAAGATTGTGAAGGGCTTTGCAGGAATTCCTTCGGAGGGACCAGTCTTGTTCATTGGTTATCACATGCTATTGGGAACTGAATTGGTGCCAATGGTAATGAACCTTTTGTTGGAAAGAAATATTCTTATGAGAGGGGTAGCACATCCAATGATGTTTACGAGAAAGAAAGAAGGGAAGTTACCTGAATTATCAAGTTTTGACTCATACAGAATAATGGGTGCAGCTCCTGTTTCCGGAACCAATCTCTACAAACTTCTTTCTTCAAAGGCCCATGTGCTATTGTACCCAGGAGGCCTGCGTGAGGCCTGTCATCGAAAGGTAATGCTTTGAATGGTAATGTTTTACTATATTAAACATTTCTTATTTGGTATCAAATTAAACGTTCAGACTGTTCAGAAATTTTAATCTTGATATCATTCATGAGAAAGAAAATTGAATCTCGATTCTAATCGTTGCAAGGGTATGCTAGGTATGCCACTTGCTTGTTGGGTAAAATTGTTTGAAATAGAGTGGCAGGTGGCCCATGTCCTTGAGATGAGTAAATGTCGAACATATGGGGCATTGATGATATGTAATACAAACCACCAACAAATAAATTAAACAAACATTGCCTAAGATTTAAGGTGCTGAGGGTATATCAAGAATTGCCTCTTCACAATGCTATTAAAGTAATAGGAACACTATGACCTAGGTCTGCTAGTAAGTCCACAGTCATAGAGGGGAAAAAAGAAACCCAGAAAACTTGATTTCTTAACAAAGTACGATACTATGTGAAAAACCAGGTAACCAAGGGACTACTGTGGATTGGTGTAGGTTGATCAACAATCATGCAAATCACCAATTAATTCAAGTCACATCACCAACATGATATATTTTTTAAGGAGAATTACCTTCCACTATTTTAGAAATTTAATATGGAGGGTGCATGGAATTAGCTTTAATTTATACAGTATGATGGAAACTCAGTTTCTCTGACTTCATTTCTATATATTATGTGGTCATGAAGATACAACGTGTTTAAATAGCTTTGCAGAACTCAACTCTTCATGTGTACTTTTCAGGGTGAACAATACAAGTTAATCTGGCCAGAGCAATCTGAGTTTGTTAGAATGGCATCAAGGTTTGGAGCAAAAATTATACCATTTGGTGTTGTTGGTGAAGATGATTTTGGTGAAGTAAGTCTGGATTGATTCATTTTTTTCCTTCTTGTTTGTTTGTCCCTCAATTTATTTTTGTGTAGAACACTCCCTGGATTGTTATTCTTTTGCTCTTCCAACTTCTGAAACCAACATTTTTTGGGGAATAGATATAGTAACCATGCAAATGTCATTGAAGTACGTGCAAAACATTTTGTAATGGTAAAGATTGTCAGATTGACAAGCAAGATCACAAAGGAAGCAATACTTTGTAACTCACAACCAGTGTGGCTGAAAAGTATTGTTGTTAGTGATCTAAACGTCAGTCTGTGTGTTTACATGGATGATCTGGACGAATTGCGACTTATGATCTCAAATATTACCTGTCTACACAATTTATTGACGCTGCATATGATCCACTTTTGTCAAATTCACAATCTGTTACATTGGTTTGATGTTGATACTAGTGAATGATTCCAAGTCTATTGTCTCAGGTAGTTTTTGATTATGATGATCAAATGAAGATTCCTTTCCTTAGGGATCTTATTAAAGAACTGTCAGAGGAGGCTGACACAGTGAGGTATGTTGTATTTGCTTGAGTTTTATTAAATCACAATTTACCTTACATTAATTTAATCTTATTTCCAAATTTATTTCCTTTTCCTTCTCTGATTCTCAGTGAAAATTTGCATTCTTCTTTTGATGATAGGTCTGGATTGAATTCTGAGGTAAACCAAGATATTCATTCTCCAGTAATCCTACCAAAATTTCCAGGCAGATTTTATTACTATTTTGGGAAACCAATTGAAACAGAAGGTATGGTCATTGGACAATCTGTTGTAATAAATATAATAGTGTACTAGTAGAATGGCTTGAACAACTGATTGCGTGATGGTCATTTAAATTTTGCAATGCTGTTTGGATAATTGGCAATACAAAAGATTGACTTCAATCACAAATTCTGCTCTGCAGGAAGGATGCATGAATTAAGAGACAAGGACAAAGCGCATGAGTTATACCTACAAGTCAAGTCTGAGGTGGAGAAATGCATTGCTTTTTTGCAGGATAAAAGAGAAAGTGATCCTTACAGAAATATATTAGCTCGGCTAGCCTACCAGTCCACGCATGGGTTTGATTCCGAAGTTCCAACATTCGAACTTTGATTCTTTTACATTCTACACACTGCATCTTGATATAGCACTCAATCTGGATCCTCAAAAAAAGCTCAGAAAATGCCATGCCGGAGCTTCACGGTATGATCCAAGTTGTTGTTGTTGTTGTTGTACTCTCCAGTTGATAAATAAATAATCATAATTACGTTTCTTGATTTTATGGTCTATCACACAATCCATTATGTTTCGAGGCTTTAGCTGAGTAAGATAGTGATGTTAGATTCATTCATTCCGCATTGAAACGCATCCATGACTTTCACAGAAGAAGCCTTGGCTGGGAAACACTCAGATTTCTGAATAAATTTGTACTGTATTTATTTGGACGAAAGCCATCTGTATAACATTTTGATCAAAGAAAGAAATTAAGATTCTCCAAAAGCTTTTCGGCATCTTTGTCAGCTTGAGCGTATTCGTTGTTTAATGCATAGTCTTACAAATAAAAAACACATATAATGTTGGGAAAAAATATTCAATGCAAAATACTAGAACTCTTTATTAATGTCTGTCTTCTTCTTCTTCTTCTTTTTTGATTAAACGTTTAAACACAATGTGTTTCTCACAATTGAAAGTTACGTGTTTAAGAGGGTACCATACGTTATACATGAATTCTCTGATTCCATCAAGCCACCATTTCATAGGATTGCTTTTCTTAATGTCACACCAATTGTCTCGTAGGATTACCCCTTTGAACTCTCTTCTTCTCAAGGCTTTCAAGTAATTGATTTTGGGTTTCTGTTTAGTGTTTTAATGGTTTTATAGGCTTTTTCTCTTCTGCCCTGCCCGCACTTCAATCTCTTCTTTCATCCCTCTAAAAAGAGTCGTTTGGGTTTCTTTTACTAATTGTTTGTTGCCGAAACAACACCTGAGGCGATGGCGATTCAACAACCCAATCTCCTCCTCATTTCTTTCCTCCCACCACAAAAAAGAACCATCGTTCAAAATTTCTCTCCAAAACTGCCATGGCGGTCATCGCTGGTTCTTTTGCACTCCCCACGGTGGTCCGCTCCTGCTTACCACTGTCATCATCATCCGGTAATTTCAAACTGCATCCGAGTCCGAGTCAGAGGCGATTTGCTAAGACAGTGAGAGTGATGGCTGGGAAGCAAAAAAATCCATATGCGCTGGAGTTGGAGAGAAACGAAATGGAAGAAGGTTGGAGTAGAAAAGGCCTTGAGGATTATTTTGAGGAGTCGAACGATTTTATCAAATCAGACTGTGGTGGTGGTGGTCCGCCTCGGTGGTTCTCTCCGTTGGACTGTGGGTCCCGCTTGGACGATTCTCCCCTCCTCCTCTATTTGCCCGGTCAGTCACCGTCAGTCACGAGTACCCTCATTCGGTCTTATTTTTTCTTGGCTATGAATGACCCATTTTGAAGTAATAGACTTCATTTGGGTGCAAGAAAGTTTTGACGAAAATACTCAGTATTAAGACCAAAAAAAAAAAAAAAAAAAAAAAACATCATCGAAGCACCTGTGATTAAGGATTTTCATGGGATCTCCAAATTCAATGGTTATGGAATTTACCTACACGTTTATGTGTAATTTTGTGGCAATTGGTCAATGTGCCAATGGCAATCCGTAAGATTTACCATAGTGTTAATTAACAAACGATTTATTGGATGCTTAGCATCAAGAGGAGATGATAAGGTTAGAATTGGGATCATCAATGCAGGCTACAACTTCACAACTTCAAAACATGCATTCCTGAAGGAATTGAAATTAGATCCTCTAACTTCTGGTTAAATTCAACTTTGATTCATAAGGTTAAGGTATAAACCTTTTTTTCCCAATTGCATCCTTTAAATTTCAATATTTTTCCATGTAGCCTTCTCACTGGCATCGTCGAGAAGGGAACTGTTGAGTTATTATGCAAAACCTATCAATATATGAAAATGGTGTATATTGGGGGTGAAGCATCGAGAGATAGAAGATGCTTAAGTCAGTGTGGAAAGAACAGTAGGGTAACTGACTTGCATGCGACTCTTGCAATAGGTGACTGGCAAAGGGGCATGTACCGTGCAATATTGATGCATTATCTCTTCTAATGGGGACCATGCAGAAGTAGAATCTTGCTTTATTAGTGAATTTGTTTGCAAATTTCTTTAGCTTTTGTTTCTGCTTCAATTTTTGGTAGTTTGTCGTTCCAAAAGGGGTAAACATTGCATTTTCACATTGAATTTTTTTTTTTTTGGGGCTTGTAAAATATTGCTCAAGAAGGATTCTGAATTTAGCAGGGATTGATGGTGTTGGGCTAGGACTTATTAGGCATCATCAAACTCTTGGAAAGTAAGTAATCTGTCAAGTGTTCTATACTTTTACAATATCGAGAATTTTCACCACCTCACCTGATTTCATCGAACTTAACTAAACCATCTTTATTATCAATGAAATCAGCATTGCTTAGCAACATACTCTTTCTAATGATCTTAATGGTGATGCTACCTAACATATGGCCTTTTCCTTTGAAACCAGGATCTTCGACATATGGTGCTTGCATATTCCAGTCAAAGATAGAACGTCATTTACAGGTCCTTTTCTATCTCACTCTATCTTGTTCTCACATGTCAAGTATAACTAAAACCATTTCCTTTGTTCTTTTTAATCAATTCCTATTGGTTCAGGCCTAGTGGAGTTGGTAGAACAAACAGTTAGATCAGAGAACTACCATTCACCTAATAGACCAATATATCTTGTCGGAGAATCTCTTGGAGCATGCCTTGCACTAGCTGTTGCAGCTCGTAACCCTGATATTGAACTTTCACTTATTTTGTCCAATCCAGGTAAAAGGTTGCCCTTAACTACTTTTGATGAAAGTTTTGATAGATATTGTCCCAATGTGTAAATTGTTTGGATGTTCTAGGAGAATTTTCAGTTAATTATCAAGAACCTACACAAGCAAATGAGCAGAAAACATGTTTAATTTATCATTGGAGTTACCAAATTGACAAAAAGGTCTAAGGGTAACAGAATTCACTGATTTTTCAATGGTCCATTTGACTATCCAAAAGTTCTGGAAGGATGCGCCAATTTTTTGAAAAATGAATTAATGCAAGAGGCTAGTGAACGCCTGGTGAACCAAAGAGCTGGATTTATGCACAAGCCTCTGTTAGATTTACAAGAAATGCATATATATTCTTTCACAAAAACATAAATTTGCTTTGTGAAGGTACTTATTGTTGTTTGATACTTCATTCACTCCATACATATTTGTGGGTATTTTTATTGCAGGAACATCTTTTGAGAAGTCACACTTGCAACCTCTTATACCTTTACTGGAAATTATACCCGTCCAATACCAACTTGTGCTTTCGTATATCCTGAGCTCCATGACAGGTTCACTTTTATTGTCCATTAGATCCACAAGTTTTGATAATTGCATGAAATAAGTAGATTTTTTTTCCTTTTTTTTTCCCTTACAAATAAAATTTTAGGTTGAGTTATATAGATTCTTGGGCCCCATCATGTTTGCTTTTAAAAAGTGGTATGCTGTAGACTCGTGCATAAATAATAGATTAAAACATAGCATTAAATTCTTTATGTTACATTTTACCTGAGTTGGACAATGATAAATGAGTGTAAAAGTGTGCTTAAGAATACATGGTCATCTTCCGATACAGAGTAGTTGTTGGGGTATGATGAACCCAGAGATCAAAGTTGGAAGCATAATTTTTTTTTCCTTTCTTTTATTTTTGTTTTCAGTATAGATTGAGGGTGTAAAATGTTGAGCCTGTGCATGTTTTTACCTCACTATCGCGATACAATTTGTAAGTGTAATCCATATATAGTTGATAGCTGATAGATGAATCATAATAGGTTTTGGATCTTGAACATCTGGTTTGAGATCAATGCTATGCCTATTAGAAAATTTACATGAGAGGTGCTTATCAAAAGAGAGAGAGAGAGAGAAGAAAAAAAAGGATTTGCATGAGAGGTCTGTTGATTTTTTGTTGCTTCTACGGTGCAATCTTATCACCTCTTCTATATGTAGGATCAAGAGGGAGTTTCTTGACACTATAAGGGTTCAATCAAAGCCAACGACATCTACCCATTTTAAAATAAATAGTATACATTTGAATAGTCAGATCGCATTTAATAAAATGCCAGCCTTCAAATTGAAATTGTTGCAAGGAACTATCGTGGATTTGTGGTACATTTCATCCCTTTCCATTGCAAATTAAGTACCACTCACAATAATTTCCCTATATTGCATTGCATGCGTTTAGGTGATCCTTTGAGGATGGCAATGAACAAGGTTGTGAAGGGACTTCCTCTAGAACAAGCAGCTGAAGGATTATCGAAAGATGTTGTTGCAATGTCACCGTATGTCTCTGTAAGTTTCCACTTTAGATTATGTAAATATAGGATGCATATCTATGAGATGTAAAAGGCAACTTTTTTCTCAACATATCAAGAACTCTGTTGTTTAATGGCTGATCTAGCATTTACTATGATCCATGCATCTTTGGACTTCAGAAAAATAATAATGGTGGACATCTTTTGGAGTTTATATGGAGATAGTAGGGATGTGAATACTTTCTTTGTTAGTTGATGCTCACACTAGAATGTGGTTTTTTTTTTTTTTTTTTTTGATCTTGTCAAAAAGAAATTGATGGTTTCTGTCACAGGTTCTAGCCAATATCTTGCCCAAAGAAACACTTCTCTGGAAGCTAGAGATGCTTAAATCAGCTTCAGCATTTGCCAATTCGAGCCTCCATGCTGTAAAAGCTCAAACACTAATACTTACCAGGTCCAATTCTTTGCATAATCTATCCCATGGTGGCAGTTAAAGTGGAATATAGATCTCATGGAACTGTTTATATCTTTTCCCCTCACTTCACACCAAATAGCTTAACTGCGCGATAATAATACATGAATCATCCCCACCCCCTCCAGCACAAGAATCACCCCCCCCCCCCGCGGGAAAAATAATAATAATAATAATAAATAAATAAATAAAATAAATAAAAGAAAAGAAAAGAAACTGGAGCATGCTGATCCACAATATCAAATCTCTCTTGAATAGCTAATTTTAAATAAAGCAGGTTGTTTGAATAACTCCCTAATGCAAAAAAACAGTTATTTTCTCACAGTCTGGAGCATAAATATGATAGTGTGACTGAGGGGTAGGCATTGTGATCTGAATTTTCCCTGGAGCCTTAAGTCATGAAAATACCAAATGCACTTTCTTATAAAATCATAGTTTGAACTTCCATGAGTTATCTTTATTCAGGGAATGTCGACATCATGTTTCCTGCATTATGCTTTCTGCTTTCAATTTGATTTTTTCCAGAATGATGGGGTTGAGTGCACTTTTTGTTGTTTTCAGTGGGAGGGATCAACTGCTACCAAGTGAAGAAGAAGGCAGAAGACTTCGCTGTGTGCTTCCAAAATGTGAAATTCGTTGGTTTAATGACAATGGTCATTGCCTCTTGTTGGTAGGATAAACTCTCTTGTTAGTCTGTATTGTGTATATACATCTAAAAGATATGATGTTTCAATTGATATATTGCAAGTTTTCTTTTGATATATATAACAATTCTGCGAGATGTGCAGGAAGATGGTGTTGATTTGGTGACTGTAATCAAAGCTACTAGTTTCTATCGCCGTGGGAAATACCATGACTATGTTTCTGATCATATACCACCAGCCCCTTCAGAATACAAAAAAATATGTGAATCAAATAGGTAACCTATTTACTATCTTAAAAATACCATCCATATTTTCTATCACTACAATGGCTACAAAATAACATTTATTTTGAACTTCCTCTCAGATATTAAATTCAATTGCATATTTGGTAGATGAGATATACTTTATGTATTTATGTTTCCTGCACATTTATTTATATTTTCTTTAGAAAAAAGATACTTTAGTTGTCACCCTAATCAGTGATTAGCGGCCAAGGACAAAGCTAAATGTCATCAAAGATTAATTGAGATGTAGTAAAATCAGATTTATTATGAATCAAATTCTCATAATTATCATGTTTTAGGTTGCTTATGCTTGCTACAAGCCCTGTAATGCTTTCAACTTTAGAAAACGGGAAGATTGTGAAGGGACTTGCAGGAATTCCTTCAGAGGGACCAGTCTTGTTCATTGGTAATCACATGTTATTGGGTTGTGAATTGATGCCAATTTCAATGAAATTTTTGTTGGAAAGAAACATTCTTATGAGAGGGATGGCTCATCCAATGATGTTTACGAGAAAGAAAGAAGGGAAGTTACCTGGAATATCAAGTTTTGACACATTCAGAATAATCGGTGCAGTTCCTGTTTCCGGAACCAATTTCTTCAAACTTCTATCTTCAAAGGCCCATGTGCTTCTGTACCCAGGAGGCTTGCGTGAGTCCTGTCATCGGAAGGTAATGCTTTCAATGGTACTGCTTTAGTGTCATAAACATTTCTCATTGAACATTCAGATTGATCAGAATTTGAGTCTTGATATAGTTTCATAAGAACAAAAACTGAATCTTGATTCTAATTGTTGCAAAGATACACTAGTTATGCTTCTTGCTTTGTATAGAAATTTGTTTGAAATAGAGTGGCTGATGACCCATTTTCTTTTCTTTTTTAACGATGCTATTGATGAGTAAATGTCAAACCTATGATGCAATGTTGATATGTAGTGCAAACCCAAAATGAATAAAATAAACAAAATATTGCGTAAGATTCAAGGTGATGAGGGTCTATCAAGAGTTGCCTCTCACAGTACTGTTAAATAATAGATGAACTATGATCTAGGTCGGCTATCAAGTCCAGTCATAGAGGGAAAAAAAAAAAAAAGACAGAACTTTCCTTTCTTAACAAAGTAGCAGACTACGTGAAAAAATAGGTAAGCAGGGAACATACTTTCAGGTGGTGAAGGTTGATCAACAATCGTGCACCTCAACAATTAATTCAAGTCGCATCACCAACATGGTGTATGTTGTCAAGGAAAATTACCTTCCATTATTTTAGAAACTTGATATCAAGGGCATGTATTCTACTGTGCTTGACATGATAATTAGCTTTAATTCATGGCGTATGACCGAAACCTAGTTTCCTTGGTGTGATTTCTATATATCATGAGGCGCTGAAGATGAAAATTTGTTTTATATTCTAAGTGTTTAAATAGCTTTGCAGAACTCAACTCTTCATGCATACCACTTTCAGGGTGAACAATACAAGTTAATCTGGCCAGAACAATCCGAGTTTGTTAGAATGACAGCAAGGTTTGGAGCAAAAATTGTGCCATTTGGTGTCGTTGGAGAAGACGATTTTGGTGAAGTAAGTCTGGAGTGATTCATTTTATTTTATTTCTTTCTTATTGTTTGTACCTCAGTCTATACAAACAGGATTTATCTAGTTAATATATCCTGTTGAATGGTTTCACTCTTCCCACTTGTTCAAAACGTGACATTTTGAGGGAATGGATATAGGAGCCATGCAAGGGTTCAAGTATGTGTTAATCATTTCTAACGTTAAAGATCCTCAAGCAAGATTACTAAGGAAGTAACAGCTTGTGACTCAGAACCATTGTTACTGCAAAGTATTTGCTAGTGATCTAAAAGTCATTCTGTGTGTTTTCATGAATAATGAGGATGAATAGTGATCTCAAAGATGACATATCTACATCATCTCTAGACTCTATATATTATTCTCTTTTGTCAAATTCACTAATCTTTTACAGTGGTTTTACGTTGATGCTAGTGAATGATTGCGAGTCTATTGTCTTTCAGGTAGTTTTTGATTATGATGATCAAATGAAGATTCCTTTCTTTAGGGATTTAATAAAAGAACTGACGGAGGAGGCTGTGACATTGAGGTATGTTGCCTTTGCTTGACCTTTAGCAATAATTTATTCTTAGTTCCAAATCCATATCCTTATCCTTCCCTGATTCCTGGTGAAAATTTTCATACTTGATGTATGACAGGGCTGGATTGAATTGTGAAGTCAACCAAGATATGCACTTTCCGGTATTTTTACCAAAATTCCCAGGCAGGTTTTATTACTATTATGGGAAACCAATTGAAACAGAAGGTATGGTCATTGGACAACCTGTTGTATCAAATATAGTAATGTACAAGTAGATTGACTCGAATAACTGATTGTGTAATGGTCATTTAAATTTTGCAATGCTGTTGGGGATAATTCATAATACAAAAGATTGATTTCAGTCACAAATTGTCCTCTGCAGGAAGGATGCATGAATTAAGAGACAAGGACAAAGCACATAAGTTATACATGCAAGTCAAGTCTGAGGTGGAGAAATGCCTTGCTTTCTTACAGGAGAAAAGAGAGAGTGATCCTTACAGAAATATAGTGCCTCGGCTAGCCTACCAGTCCACTCATGGGTTTGATTCCGAAGTTCCAACATTTGAAATTTGATTCTTCTGCAGATTGATTTGATACTCAATCCAGATTCTCAAATAAACTCAGAAATTGGCAGAGTGGAGCCTCACAGTATGATCCAAATTGTTGTTGTACCCTCCATTCGGATCAATGCTTCGGCCGAGTAAACTGTGATGTTATATTCACCTTGATACAACATCAATGATGGATATTGGGATTGATGAATAAATTTATACTGTATTCATTTGATCATATGCTTCAATATGCAGTTTATGCCATATTGTATCAAGCTTCTACTACCAGAACTGTGAATCAAATTGAAGTCATGATATGTAAAACATTCTAGTACATAATAAAGCAAGTTTTTCCTGGCCAGCCAATTCCACTGGTAATTAAATTGAACAGCCAACCAATTGCACATACAGCTGAAGAGCATTTGGTAGCTGGTATGTCTTATTCTAATTAATTATATGACTAAAGAAAGAAAATTGAATAACTAGTTGGCGCTAAGGCTGCATTCAGCAACCTGCTTCCATGATTCCAACTTTCCTTTGTCTTGACGGTCTGTTATCCACAATGCCAGGCGACTTATCTGGAAATTCAGGCCATCGATGCTCTCATCAAGAACGTAAGCTTTTTCTTGAGCCTTCTTCTTCTTATCGTTTGTCAGAGTCCCATAAAGAAGGCTAAGATGGGGCATGTACCCTACAACGATAATCAATGGTTATAGGCTGAAAAACACAACCATGAACCATCTATATAAGCTTTCCATCTTCTTAATTATGTCATGACTGTAAGTTGTAACGCTGAAAGTGAAGATTGAAGAAGACTTACGATTAGACCTCTTGTACCCAAATTGCCTGCAGCAGTGTGCACTGGCATCCATTACCTGGAAGGGAAATAGTCCATATTGTAATATCAAGAAACATTATGAGCAAACCAGGATGTGATTAGTGATTACCTTAATGCATTTAAAACAAGATTAGACAGGGCACAGTGTCAAGAAATGAGCAAACATTACCTCAGGCGTGGACTGAAAGAGCAAATAAAGGCACTGAGAGGGAAAAGCCCCAGTAACTAGACGATCAGCCTTAACGTGATAAGCCTTGAGCCCTTCACAAGCAGACCTAAACTTCTCCAAAGCATCCTGCTCTGTTAAGCTCACAGCACCAACAACAGTGACATGTGGTGGGATCTCAGGCCCGCCAAACTCTGATCTAAGACCTCCCATCAACTTCTTCAGCCTTTCTCCCATATCTTCAGGTGGAATTGCCCACACTGAATAATCATTCTTTTGGGCCACACTAACATCTGTTTCATTGGTGATCTCCATGATCGATGATAAAGAGTATATATGAGAGAGTCCTGGTATGTGGTAAGGCTGAGCCTGTAAATAAATGGATATATAGAGCAGCTTCTTCTAGTTCAGGAGTCAGAAGGCTTGTAAGTCAAGCCACCTTACTTGATTTTAGCAACAACTCCTCCTTCTGTGGCCACATGTACATACAAGGATCGAGGAACACCATGTGCCGTGATCCCCTTTTTCTTTTACGTAACCCTATGATAAAGAAAACATATTCCTCAAATGTTCTATTTCTTTTTTTCGTCATGACCGTGGTGACTGAAGGTGCTAAGAAGCCAAAATTCTTGGATTATTCTCCTATATATATATATATATATATATATATATATATATATGAAAAATAGGTGCTCTAAGGAGTCAAAAAGAATTGATCAAATCAGATAAAAGTAGATTATTCATCTTTTCCTGGCTACTTCCCAGCTGGTAAGTTTTTCCACCCTTCTTTTGAAAATATAAGTTTTAAATTGTCATATTCCAATAATTTAGGAGTAATTTTTTGACATTAAGCTTCAGTCTGAAAAAACACAATTGCATATTAAATGTTTTTTATAATGGATTTGGGAAGTTAGAAAAAAAAAAAAAAAAAAAATATATATATATATATATATATATATATAGAGAGAGAGAGAGAGAGAGAGAGAGAGAGAGAGAGAGAAGGGGGCAAAATTGTAATGACAATTAATGACATTAAAAAAAAAAAAAAAAAAAAAAAAAAAAGAAGAAGAAGAAGAAGAAGAAGAAGAAGAAGAAGCAAGAGAAATAACCTGGTGACTGATGAGGACCAAAAGTGAAAGCGAAGAAAACAAAAAGACCAAAATCGATCAATTTAGAGACAAACATGCACATAATATTAAAATTATTTGCAAAACATAAATTAAAGATCCAACGGCTAAAAGCGCGACAGTAGGAATAACAACAGTAACAAACAGCAGAGAGAAGACCAATGGGCTTAACACAGTAACACCGAGTCTTCGTCTGGTTAAACACTACATAAATAGTAAATTAACAGTCCAGATATTTTAGTTTTTTTTTTTTTAAAAAAAAATAGTATATTTACTGGTTCTTGGGTAAAACTGCCTGAGTCATTTGACTGAGTTTTGACCAATGACTTGTCGTTTTTAAATAAATGACGTGTTTCCTGAACAAGCAGTACTTGCTGTTATTGGGATCGACCGACATATCGTTTGGGATGCCTATCCGCGGCCAAAAGCCCAGACAGTCACCATCCTTTCTTCCTCCGTACGTACTTCTACATCAGGTTTTTTTTTTTTTTTTTAAATTAAAAAATTATTATGGTAATGGAAATAAAATTGTTTATAATAATTTTAGATGAGCAGCTATCATAAGTCACCAAGTCCATAAGCAGTGCAGCTTTTTTTTTTTTTTTCCTTCATAGCATCCCATGTTTCAAGCTTTAGACTAATTTTTCGCTATTTATTCTGATGCACAAAACAAATACAGATATTAAAGAGATTTTCTATGTATTTGAATATGACATCATTGTTTATAATAAATTATTAGAACTCGTTCTGTTAAGTAACTTAATCCAACTCTCTTGGATAGTATAGTATTTTAATTAGGGTTAAAGGTCCAGTATGTATTTTTATTATTTCAAATGTTTTAATCGTGTCTCTATATTAAAATTTTTTAATTATCGTGTCTCTCTATTCTTAATTGTGTCTATATTTGCTTATTCGATCATTTTTTTAAGCAATGAAGACAACTTACGGTATTTTTTATAATTTAAAAATTTTATTCTTATATTATTATTATTTCGGATCCTAAACAATGATAGTTGATTATTATTGTTTCGGATCCTAACCAATGATAACTTATCACGTGTGAGTTCTAGCTAATGATAGCTTGCATCGCAATTCAATCATTTAATTTGAACCTATCATGACTCGTTATAGTTGTCATTAGTTAGAGCTTGCTTGTCATGTGTGCTTACGTAATATATTAGAGTATGAAATAATAATAATATAAGAATATAACTCTTAAATTGAATAGAAAGAAAAGCTTAGGATCTTAATAAAAAAATTCAAATTCTACAAAATCTCCATATGTGCAAAACCCTGCAGACAAAGGTTTTCCCACTTTTGTGGCACTGTGTGGCCAAGGTTCACTTCCCCGTTTATGCAATGCCAATGTTTGTTATTTGTTTCAATTTTTTTCCCCTTTGAAATATAGGTTTGATTCGACAAGGCCACCTTCTCTTGGGAGTCATGGAAGAAAATCTAGAAAGAATTCTTCACATGTGATTATCTATTCAGAATTGCTAAACTACGATATAAATCAATACTACTTGGAGAAGAATAAAAGCAATAAAACTTGAGCAATCTTAACAATGCCATTAATATTTGCTGCAGATGCCCAGAAACCGATCATGATTCCAAGGAACTGGAATTTAATCAGCCGCTTCACCATCACTGTCAATAGTAATTTGCCAGGAAAATGAGCATCAAAACTATATGGCTGGCTATATAGGCGTACGGTTTCCACACATCTGGACAATTCATTCAGAATTTAGTGCACACATGCAGCGAAATTGATCAATCTCACAAAATCACACAACCAAAAAACGAAAGTCATCATGACAGAGAGAGATGAGGATGAAGATAAAGATAGATTAAGATCATATTAATTATAAGATTCCATCCAATAACATCAACATCATCATTAATGATCAAAAGTTGATCTCCATGAAAACACTCCTAACTAAGTTAAAACTCTCAAAACAGGGAATCTGAGATGATCTAAACTCTAACCCCAGCCAGATATATAACCCTAAGAAAAACACCAGATAAATCATCTCCATTTTCATTAATTAGTTACTTCTAAACCTAATCACTTCCAAAGAGCCCATGATTAACCCAAACATGAAGAAAGTAATTATAGCTTATAAACGAAGGGTAAGGTCCACATTTGCAGGGTCATTAGGATCATCATTATGAGCAGTAATTGCTGAAAGATCATAACCACTGCCAATATCATGATCAAGAGAAGTAGGAGCTGCAGACCCACCATGAAGCCCACCATACTGAGGAACCGAAACATAGACACCTGCAGTACTGGATGTTCCTGGAAACTGGTGGTGGTTGCTACTCATCATGGGGTGGTCAAGAGCCTGATATTGGTGGTATTGGTTAAAAAATGATACTGCAGGAGGGCTTGCTGCTGCTGTGTGGCCGTTATGGTTAACAAATGATGAAGGTATTAGCAATGAAGGTTCTGTTGAGATGGTAGTGTTGAGGATGCTGTTGTTTCTTCGTAGAGCCGCTCTTTCACGTTTGTGAGCATTTTGATGGCCACCGAGAGCTTGTGAACTGTAGAACCTTCGAGGACAGAAAAGGCATGGGAAGTGACGAGAAGAGGATGGGTGGGGTAGGCTTGTTGAGCTTTTTCTTGTGGGTTTTGAAGAAGAAGGAGAAGGGTACTGTTGTCGTTGATGGTTGAGGAAGCTGTAGATTGATGGGTCTGCCATTAATTTCTCGGAGAAAAGGAGATGAAGGTAGTGAGGGAGTGAGAGAGGTGAGGTTTTTATGGGGTTTAAGGTTTTTTGTTTGTATGTAGAGAGAGAAAGGAGGAAGGTGATTGGTTGTGAATAAATGGACGGAAATACCCTTCTTTGTCTTCACATGTATGGGTAGTTTGGAACCTTTATTTGGGTTTGAGATGGTGATCTATCATTGGTCTTGTTAATAACATATCTCTAATTATAAGATTATGATTTTAATTAAAAAAAAAAAAAGAGAAACTTAAAGATAATGAGGAAAAAGGAAAATGGGATTAGACAAATGATGGGTATCAAACATCAAATAGGTGCATCAAGTCCTTGATTTGTTGGTAGATACAATAATCCAATTACTCATATCATGTCATACATAATTATCAAATTTTACCAATATCTTGTATAAATCTTGAAAATAAAAATTTACAGAAGAAATTTTAAAGTCGTGCCCTAATTATATAGAGTAGAGTTTCGCAATAATTGACATGATTTACCAACACGAAAGTGTCATGTCACAATGGAGCTTCAATCATCGTGAAATTAAAACATAAATTCCTTAAGTATAATCTCGTAAAAACCCACTATCGAATTTGATTAATGGCTATTTGTTGTTCAAAACAAATGGTTTTATTTTTACAATGTTCTAATTGTTCTACATTATTGTAAGTTAGAATTAATCAAATTTTATTTTTCTCATCCTATCTCAGAATATTCGTTAAACTAGACGAACTCATTTGTTTAATTACCACTTAATAATTTAGTGCATGCTGTGAAATTTTTTACATGCATCCCACAATGAAAGTGGCTAATTAATTAGAGTTCTAGAAATGGCTTAATTAATAAATGAATATCTTGAATATCTGATTAGCAAAATGGATTCTATGTCTATCTAACATGCATGTACATGAACATTGTTCCATACTGCATCTAAGCAAAACAAAAACCATAAAAAATGATAAAAAAATTCTCTCCCGATATGTAATAGAATAATAAGAGATTAATATAAATTTATAAATATAGGTTAAAAAAGGAAGTCAAGCTAATACAACCACTTGCCTTGTTGATTGGAGTTCCAAGGATGGACTCCACGGGGTCATTCAGATTAAGCCAAAGCTCAACATGATATATAATGATTTGACACTTGTACGGTCTAGATATTTTGATTCAATGTAGGAAATGTCTCTCTGTCCTATCAACGACTACTGAAGAGAGAAATGCGGCAAAGTCGTTCTTTCTTTCATCCTGTGCTCTTGCTGGCTAGCTAGCTAGCTAGTAGCTACTTACTACTTTCTACTCCCTTAAAATATATATATATATATATATATATATACACCACAAGCTGTTATAGAACAAAATAGAGTTGGATTTTTGTAATCAACAATTCCAAAATTTTATTTTTAAATTCGTATATTGAGATATAACACATAAAAAAGAAAAAAGAAAAAAAATTGAATAACCATTGTATCAAGTGGTTCTAAGGAAAAAAAAAAAATGAAGTTAGGGTAAGCTAGCTAGGAAAGTGAGTGTAACCATAGTTCATGCTATGTGATGAATGTGTACTAACAAACTAGTTGTAGTCCATACCATAGCTACTAGCTACCTCTTCTTTAACTTTTGAAACTTAAAATTCAAAGGTTAGAAGGGAGAAGGGCAGAATGGGAATACTATTTTGATTAGCAGAAAAAAGGGGCATCAAGAGGAAATCAAAAAGGACAAAAAAATGGTTACATCTACTTGTTTTCTGATCAGTGCACTGTTGAGTGTTAAGTGTCAGTGTAGTACAGCCGCAGATCAGCAATATTCTAGCCTTGCACTCTCTCTGTCACTCTGTTCTGTTACTCTCTCTGAAGTCTAGAGCCAAAATATATGTTTGCATGAACTGTTTAATTTTGTGCGAGAGAAAGAGAGAGGTCAGGAGCGATCGATATTATTCGCTTTCCAGCTATTAAGGGCCACGTCAAGTAGACCACGGTGAGGTCTGATCAGAGACTGAGTGAGTGGATATATATATGTTGTGATTACGTGAGAGAAATCAAGTGTGACATTTGGTCAGTGGCTCCATCGGTTAGGGATGACTAGTGATCAGGGGTGGCTGGCTCAGGCCCCAAGAACCAAAGAGAACGTACCCTGGCCAGAATAGATGGGTTTGTAAGGTTCATGCATGGCAGATCATGTGGTAGGGTATTATTATTTTGTTTCCTCTAATGGGTTGTTTTAGGTTTGGCTGGTCTCCATTGGAGTCTTTCGAAGCATACCAAAACCAATGTTTTAATGCTGCCACATTTATGTACTACCTAGTGCTGTCATCGATCTCTTCATTTCCGATGATCCTCCTCTTTTCTTCTGATTTTTACCCTTTTTTCGCCAAGTATCTCTGGTTAAATCCAATTTGGACTACAGTTTGATGAACCCCAGTTGAGAAGTTATTTGAAGGATATAATTACAATTACAACAGCAACTTGATCAGTCCATCCAAATGGATTCTTATTAGTTCCTTTTCAGCTGCATACTCATAATCACCTGTTTCTCATTGCTTTTCAAGTTGCAAATAGTTCGTTGCTTGCTTGATAATAATTAACGTCGCAACCAACCACAAGCCAAACCAAAAATAATTCGAAATCGGTTCCATTAGACGTGTCAAAAAGCCATTTTATTCGGGATATTTGTTGTGAAAGGCGAAGTTCCTTTATAAATATATACTTTTCAAGAAACAAAAAGGATTCATTTGGCATCATCATGAGATATAGTGATCGAGCCCAATCTGTCTTCCATCAGTCACCTTTCAGGATGAAACAAGTTCCTTTGAACTTCCAACGTCAAACCATACCCAAGCTTCTTTAGCTCACTTTTCATGCAGCAATTAATATGATAATAATTTTTTTAGTAAAGACTGTAATCAAACAAGCTAAGCTAAGGTCTACCAAACCTGAAGCAACAAGTCCACATCTAGTCAGACACATAATTGGGAGAGCCTAGGTTATTTCCTTAGCTTTTGCATCAAATCATGGGATAATTAAACTGATACAACTCTCAGACCATTGCCCCCCAGTGTCTCAAACATCTACTGATGCTACCTAGTTCTGCCCTCCAATGCAAAGGGTCACTTATTTGGGCCTGTCAGGCCATGAGAAGCCAGCCTTTAGACGTGACCCTCAAGGGATCATATCTCGCAACCAAGGTCCAAGTTTCATTTTCAAACAAGAACCCAACATGATTTCTGTTGGTGTCTTTTGCCATTTCTATAGGAATTTAGTAGCCAACAGGTTCCACTGTACAGTAGATTAAGATAGCCAGCCGTGGCAGAACTGCTCTAGGAGAAGCAGTTTTTACCGAGCAAAAATGGGGGACTCATTTCGAGAGCTTAAGAATGCAAAATTTTGAACCCATTAATTATTGAATGGAGGTATTAATTTACAGGTTGTATGGGGTTAGCGTCAGTCATTTCGAGATGAGATGACTAAAAAGAAACAAGTATGTACAGTGTCAGCAAAGGATCGAACTCCATTGAGATGAATTACATGTTTCAGTTGCTGATGTCGAAATATCTTGGATCTTCAGGGAAATGGTAATCTACGTTTAACTGCCAAAAAAAAAAAAAAAACTTGGTTAGTCTATTAGACAAGGTAAGACACCAAACAGAAAATAGTAACATATTCTTTTCTGATTGTGCAGATCAACACTCCCACATTGAGAATGTACACAGCTTGTTCACAAGCCTTTTAGCTCCTTGGTGTCTCTCACTCCCATTCACAGAGAAAGGTTTGCTGGAGTAGAGTTTTCCCACTTTTGTCTCTCTGTGTGGCCAAGTTTTTACTTCCCCATTTATGCACTGCCAATGTTTGTTATTTGTTTCAATTTTTTTCCCCATTGAAGTATAGGGTTGACTCGACAAGGCCACCTTCACTTTGGAGCCATGGAAGAAAATCTAGAAAGAATTCTTCACACGTGATTATCTATTCAGAACTGCTTAACTAGGATAAGAAATCAAGCACAGGCAATATACCAAATGCCTTGGACGCTAAATCAAATACTACTTAGAGAAGAATAAAAGCAATAAAACTTGAGCAATCTTAACAATGCCAATAATATTTGCTGCAGATGCCCAGCAACTGATCATGATTCCAAGGAACTGGAATTTAATCAGAAGGTTCAACATCACTATCAGTATTTGCCGGAAATGAGCATCAAACCTATATGGCTGACTACATATGTACAGTTTCCACACATCAGGGCAATTCATTTGCAATTTGGGGCACACAGCTAAATTGAAAGATGACACTTGGAAGCCACATATTGCATGAATTCAAAATAACATACCTTGCCCTCATCAGCATCTGAATGGCGTTGAGGGAACACAACTCTCAAGTCATTGTATAAATAGAACCTACGCTCCCCTTCTACACCTAAGCTCGTCCTTTGTGGTATAGCTATATGATCAGATGCACATTTCTGAACTGATTTAGATGATTTTTTCGGTGAAGGGCATAGAAAACGGAGATGAAGTGCATAACGGAGAGCACCACCACCACGAGTAGTTTCATTTATCTTTGAACAACAATGATTTGGTTTTCTGTCAGTTTCATTGCATGTTTCCACCCCAGCATACTCCTTCCCCACAGTCCTCTGGCATTTGGCATTACTGCAGTTGGTCTCAAGCATCAAAGAGTCCACAGTCACCTTTTCTACATTTTGAGACTGCTTGGGAAAATTCCTTGCATCAACCGTATCCGCCATTTCACAGGATTCACTTCCTTCAATTTTACTTTTCTGAGCAACCGAAGTTGCTGGGTATACAGGAGTCACCTTTTCTATATTTTGAGACTGCCTGGGGAAATTCTTTGCATCAACCATATCCACCATTTCACAGGATTCACTTCCTTCAATTTTACTTTTCTGACCAACAGAAGTTGCTGGGTATACAGGATAGCTTTTCTGTGATATCGGAGACACTTTTTCTTTCACTTTTGTGTCCAAACCTATCTGCCCTTGTTTCAATTCTGTCGAAGTTGGTCCAGAAGAAGCCAAAGAGACCTTCTGGCGCAAGAATGTCTGCATTGATAACAGCAAAGAAAGTGATCAAATAATTAGTCACGTGATAAACGAGCACATAGACCATAAAATAAGCATACTTAATTGATTGCATCATATGATGCATACATCTGTTGGTATGTCTAATGCCGTACTTACGCTATGTATGACAACAGCAGACAAGAGCCACTTCACACAGATATGAAGCTGAAAACTCATTATATATTAAGTCCACTGACGGAATTTAAGGTAGAATATATTAAAAATCTAGGTCAAACCATTAAACTTTAAGTTTGTATGAATGTGGCAGTACAAGAGGGAAAAAAAAAAATAGAGCTGCTGGTTGCCCGTTTCATGATTTTGGTTACATCAGAACAAAAGGTCTATATTCAATTTAACAATCATAAGCAAAATAAAAAAGAAAAATAGGTTCAATCCTTCTGATTCTGGTTTCTGAAAAAGCTCCACCATCAGAATTGATTAGCTCACTTTCAAAAGTATCAATTAACAGAATTGTTTCAAAAATTTTCAAATAGAAAAAGAACTCATTTTAACTCGTTCTAGTCGCTCACATATATCATTCTCGGGGAAGGTGATAGTGATCTGGAAACCTCAAGGAGCTGAATGCCAATGAATAAACAATTGCTCATGGTGCATCTATTCTCATACTAGATACAAGAATATATTTATTTCAATAAGGTTCGACAGCAAATCCTACTTAATAAGCCTGAATGTACTAGAGTAGACAATACAAAGTGCTACTACATCTTACTTTGGTACCAGCAGGCATATCACTCAAATCATAGTTGCAAAAGAATGTGTGAAGTGGAGTTTTCTCTGGATTGCTGATAACCTGAAGAAAGCAAGCCAATTTGATCGTAAATAACAGACATTTCTTTTATCGACAACCCACCTATTAATACCAAAAATCTGCAGCTGCATAAAGTTTGAACGAAACAGAATGGAGATGTCTAATATTGTGATTTGCCAGTAAATCCAAATGCCAATAAAATGTAAATAAATAAATACTACTCTTCTTACTACCAAAGACAAAACATATGCAATGGACTGTTAGAACAACAAACTCCTAAAGGATATGATGAAAGAAAGACATTCTTGTCAAATTGATTCATCATGGTCCCTTCTATTAAATGTAACAAATGTGGAAAAAGGTTCCACCACAAGGCAAGAGCCTAAGCAGAAAGAAGGCCGCCTAAACATGTAAAACCAAGTTAAAGGTGGAAAAAACAATTTGAAATTAAAAATTCAACGTATATCAAAGGAACTCAGGACCACCAAAAAGGTTTGCAGAGAGATATAAAGTACCAGTTGTATTCGACCTTTCATGGGTACACGCAAACGACTCCCGACAATTTGAGAATCATCATGACTTAGGCATCTTTTAAACTTTTGTCCCCTACACTTGTTTGATGACGAATTTCTACCAAGATCTATGGATGCACAATACAGTAGATAGCAATTCCCATCTACACTGGTCACTGAAAATGGAAGCTTCTGTGACTGCGGTGAAAAGTTCCCTCCAGTAATGCTTAATACAGCCAGGAAGCCATCAATTCTCTATAGATAGAAAATGCCATCCAAAAGCATAGAATATCAGATGTTTTCTAAGAAATGAAATAAGAACCGAACACCAGAATATACATATACATCAATTAGCTACTAACCTGAGAAAATTTTCCACAAAAGAACCGTCCAGACAATAGTGACTCCTCGAATGAACCAACCAAGGACCTCCTAACTGGAAGACCACTCAAACTTCTCAAGTGCCTTATGCGTTGGGCTGGAGCTGCTCCTCGACAGAAAGACGACCAACCTGAGTCAGCAGTGCCTTCCAATGAAGATGGACAAAACTCTTTGCAGAAACCAATATCTTCAAATGATCTGCTTGAGATCCTGAACTCTGCTTCTTCAGAAGAAAAGTTAATACCTGAGTCATTTCTGTCAAATGAATGTCCTACATTTTCTAAATTCAAATAGTAATCCTCAAATTGGCCCTTGACCTTTCTGCGTCCTTCTACAGCTTTCATACTCACCCAAGACTTTGGACCTAGAGGAGACAAAGAGAGTGAAGATGAAAATCCCTTTTGGGAGGATATCTTAGATTGTTGATAATGATTGTGTCCAGAAGAAAAAAAACAATTAGTGCGAGTGAGTGCATCATTATTTTCCAGTAACGGACCATCAGTTAAACGAACAGATCCTCCTGCACTATTGTCACATGGCACATTCTTTTGTTCCCAGTAGCCAGATAAGGATCGAGATAACACACTGATATTAAGTTTTCTGCCAACATTTGGTTTCTTGTAGTCATGCGATGCAGGGCCTTTAAAATTATCAGCAAGAGTAGGGCAATTCATCCGAGAAGCATTGCAGCTGATATCCAAAGACTTGCCATTAAATTGTTTTGCTGAAAGCATATCATTTAAAGGAGATGACGGTAACCGCTTCCTGACAAGTGATCCACTCGACTCAGCCTCATTAATTGTGACACCGTCAATAGCAGCACAACGCACATGATCAGCAGAAAGAACCTCAAATTCAGTTTTTGAAGAACTTGTTCCATGCGATTCAAAACCCACAATCCTAGAAGCAGGGTTTGGAATATTCCTCCCGCTTTTAGGAGTACAACAACCAACTTTATCCACAGAACCAGTTTTCAACCCATGAAAATTGGAAGCAACGTCCACTTGCCCTCCAAATCCAAATGAATTGTCTGAATATTTCGAAAGATCCAAGGAGGATTTCTCCTGGAAATCTCCTAAAGAGGAAGTCCTAGTATGCCCAACTGTTCGGCCAATACTTCCTCCATCCAAATCACAGGTTCTCATGCCAGCATATCGAGGTGGGCTTTGCAAAAATGAGCCCAACGATGCTGCTGCAACTTCATTGGCACTATCAGTAGAGGAAACTTGTGGCAAACCCATAACTAAAGTTTGCAGAAACTTATATCTACTTATTCAGCTCAACTGAATAAATTATCAATCCCTTCTCTCTGTTTAACAAGTACAGCACTTTAATTTGATAACATTGATTGCTTCCTGCTCAACTTTGCTAACAGATTAGAAACTGCTCCTCCATGCTAACTACTTGAAAAAAGATTCCAGAATCCTAATCCTATCAATGTAGTTGAATGAATGGAGATAGAGAGCGACAATGAATGTCAACGAATCGCACAGAACCTTTTCCCTAATCTACAAAGGAGAAAGTATTATACATCCACCAAAGGCATCCACATTTCACCTACAACTCCTTCATGAGATGGAATAGCGAAAGCCAAACACATCATTACTATCCAACAATATCGGGTAGCACAGATTTTTTGACCTCCCAACCAGCAAGCAATGAAGCGCCTAGAATTCATAGTTACCAACAGAGTGAAAGTCTCTGCCTGATATGAATTCAAAAAAAAAAAAAAAAATGTTAGTTGTCTAAGCTTGAACAAGATGCTTTAAACCAGTGTTTAAAATGAACCACATAAATTTTCAATATTTCTAATACACAACCACAAAATGAATCCTTAATTGATCACACATGGATCGGTGATTATCATTACCTACTAGTGATCTAATCCAACTTGCAAATATAGGAAACTCAACTATATGAGAAGGAAGAGCCCCAAAGGACAAAACTACCATCAAAGTACACCAAAACTACTAATAAGACAGACAACAAATGCATCAACTACTAAATCTAAAGCAGCATATCCATAACAAAAAACAACAAAGCAAAAGTATCTACGAATCAAAGCAGTGTCTCATCAACTATCTAGTTAAGCCAGAACATCAAACACCAAGAAATGATTTGAACAGCAAAACCAACAAGGCAAAGAGTATATATTTAAAGTGCATAAACTGATTCCTTGACGTGATCAAGAAACAAACACCTCAAAAGGGTTGCTTAAAAGGTACACATTCACTTCAACCCCAAAACTCAAACCATCCATCACAATCAACATTTACTATTTTAAATCAAAGCAGCATATTTTATAAACAAAACCCACAAAAAAAAACCAAACCCAGAACACAATTTAAGCTTAATCATTAAAATAAGCCAAAAAAAACCCGATGATTGTTTCAAGTCGACGCAATATGTTATTTAAGAAATTAAGAAAAACCCAGAAGCCAATCAGATTTAATCATCAAAATTATAAAAACACATAAATAAATAAGCTTTAATTACATGAAATAAAAAATTCCATCAATCTGATTAGCAGACCCACCAAAAGAACAAGTGATCAAGGATTCTGATAGGCAAGTCATTTCAAAGATGATCTTCCATATAATCCAATCAATCAAAATATCTCTTCCAGATCATAAATATGTACTATATGTAACTGAAATGCCAAATAAACAAAAATCAAAACAAGAACAGTGTGCGTCTTATTCTGAGATTGTTTTCTTTTTAATGGGTTTTGACAGAGAGAACAAAGAAGAAGAAGAGAAAGTGGGCGTGAGGAAGTTTTATAAGAAGAAGAAAGGGAGAGGAAAGCCATGCCTAGGTGCAAGTTTATAATCCCGATAAAGAGACGTGCTCTTGTATTTGTATACGATAGTTAAGAAATTGAAGACAATGCCACGAACGATGAAAGTAAGATGGTTAAGAAGATTATTACTGATTCCAGCTGTATCTAAATGAAATTGAAATGCCCGATTAGCCCAGCAAATTCATTACTGATTCGAGCTGTATCTAAGCGACATTGTTCCAAGCCAGGGAACTACAAATGCGAGAGCCCAGTTGGCTCTTACTATTCTAGACTCGTTACCCGAGAACCATAGAAGTTTTAGGTAGATTTTCGACTGTTTACTACGATCCATTACGGATGGGCTCTTAAGCAATCATGCTGCCAATTTGAAGAGTTTTTTCTGCTCCTTTTTTTCAATAAATTTTTAAAGCGGAAACTAGCAAGTAATTAAGATGTTATCACCTTGTTTTAGAATCACATTCATGCTGATCTACTCTATGAAGATGAATTGAGAAGAAAAAACCAAGTGTTGAACCACACCTTACACATAATCCATGAAGCTAATCTGCTCTATGGGTGCAATGAGGTTGGTAACTGGTAATCCATTTTTGAATTAAGGAATTAATTGTGATTGTAATATGGTTCAGCCCATTACTGATTCTGGGCTAGAATATACTAGAATGTTCTCTGTTGAAGAAGGGTTAGTAGCAGCTCTAGCTAGCCCATTTTGCTTCTAAGAACCATAGCATTCAACTTCTTAGGCCTCTAAGAAGAAATTCTTAGCTGCACAAAGCTTCTGAGAGAGAGAGAGAGAGAGAGAGAGAGAGAGAGAGAGAGAGAGAGAGAGAGAGTTTGAACTTGTTCATATGTTGGTGGGTTGTCACTATGCTAGATCCTCTAATAGTCTGGCCCATCATTAACTACATGGGCCCATTTTCATGGTGGTTTTATAAAAATGATATAATTTTGAGAAAAAAAAATTATTAGATATTTTGGATGTGGTGTTTATGAATTATTATCATAACACTTCTTTTACCAAGTTACCTTTGAATTTTGGACGAAAGTCTCTAGTTTCTCTATGTGAAATTCGAAACCTATTTATTCAAGTGAGACCTTTTTAGATCTCCATCTCATTTTAGTTTAAATGATGAGAAAAAGAAGCGAGTTTGAGATGAATACTCACGAGATATTAGCTGAAAGATTGAATTGGACTTAGAATTAGAGCCAAAAGATGAGTTCGTGTTGAATTAGGAGCGAGAGCCAATCTTCTTTTTCTAGTGGAGTTGTGTATGATAAGCTTACTAAATATTCAAATATTGATAATTTAAGTTTCTTAAAGATATGTAAGTTGACAACGCTTAAAAAGGCTAGTGGTGTGTAAGGATTTTCATATATGAAAAAAATTGAGTTGGTGGAGTCGTTGAGTGGTAGTTCAATGTGACGGTAATACACCTTTACATTGGTTTTGAGGTGCTTCTTCTTTGAATATAGTTTTGTTTCCTTATTCTTTTCTATGATTTTATGTAATGTAATGCGGGTTTGGAGGGCTTCTTAGTTATTTAGTTTTTTTTTATTATTATTAATTTGTGTTAGTTTAAGAGTGCTCTCTCGGAATAGGTGTCATTCTTTTTATTGGATCATGTGACTTTCATGTTCAAAGTATCTAGTTTGAAATTGATTAACAAAAAATAAAAAACTTGATTATAACAAAAAAAGATTCGGGACCTAAATAAAAAAATAAAAAATTTAAAGACCTTTCTTTATTTGACTAAAAATTCATAATATTTTAGAACCAATTAGTCCTTTTTCAAATTAATAGACTTCCAAAATATTAAATAAATACAATTTTACATTGTATGGGCGAAAATGAGTTGTTGAAGAATTGGTAATTTAATAGAAAAGTTAGATGTTAGGACAAAAATTGTAAGTGAATAAGGATGATATTATAATTAGTATTTGTCTTCTCTTTTTTATGCAATTTATTTATTTTTTTTCAATTTTTAAACTTGATATAGTTTGTTATTTAGTTAGTTTTATTTTGAAAACTGAATGAATTCAAAGTCTGCATGTAGCTTACAAATTCCAATTCTTTCCTTTTTTTTTTTTTTTTCGAAATTCGATACAATCGGTTCAAGTTGAAAAAAAAAAAAATCATAGTCGTCTAATTAAAATTCATTTAAAATCTTGGAAAATAACTTTAAAAAACATATATACAACAAATTAAAGAGAACGAACCAAAGTAATAATGCCATCTAAAATGAGTTTGCCATAAATCTTCCTTTATAATTTCTCCTTCAATCCTCGGGTAATTCAACTAAGCCCCTGGGGATTTGATAATGATTACAACGACTCGTGGATTAGATTTTTAAAATAAAGTTGTGTCCTTGTTATTTCTTTCCAAAGACCTCGATCTTCTGCCGACCTTTCATTTAGCTCCAAATATCAAATTTCTAGCGACAGAAAAAGTTAAGAAATTGAGTATATTAGTAAGATTAATACTTACATCCTCTCTCTCTCTCTCCCTATATATATATATATATGATGCTTTTCATGGAAGAAAATTGATATGGAGGGAATTATAATAATCTGGAAAACAAGTTCTAATATACTCTAAAAATCTAGGTAATCCAATCCTCCTCTCTTACCTCGCCTTCTCTCTCGTCCCTCAACATTCAAGGACCTTGTTATAAACAAATGAAGTTTATGAAGCTGTTTCGTATAACATTTAACTATAAGGACTAAAGTGTAATAAAAGTACTTAAAGTACTTAAATTGTAATAAAAGACCATTCATTACAATACGTTAGCTTGTTTATCATACGTCACAAGTTAAAACTAATAACAACCAATCGGATAATGACATATGGTAATTTTTTTGATTCACATTTGCACGTTTCATTTCTTAATTGATACATGGGATGAATAGTTAACAACGTTTTAATGAAAAGTCTCAATTAATTAATTTATAAAAGTAGAAAGTTTCAATCAAGCCGAAAAATAATTGAGGGTCTCAATCAAAAAAATTGAAACTTTACATGGATTAATTATGAGATAAATCCATTTAAAAATGATCAAGTCGATATACTTGAAGTTTAAGCGTTGTCTTAGAAGGCAACCTCGTAGATCACTTGCATTCATAACTTGAGATTCATAATCAATAAAATGATTCCACGATGTCGGCGGCTCAAGCACTCGTAGGATTGTTCTTTGTGCGGGATAAATCAAACCCCGGATAGCCACTGCAGTCCGGTTTCTTGTCCTTGAAATGTAGATTATGGACCAATGTTCCCATCAATCACAATTTGCGTAACTTAATTGTTATGACGAGTTTTGACATTTCAAAGGATGGCCTTTGGTATTATCGAAGCGAGGTCGGTCTACTAATTATTTCATCCGCCCCATGGCCCTCATTCGTAAACTCTTTATTGTTATGATCGCTCTCGGCATAAACTTCTATGGTTACGGGCTAATTGGCCGATAGGTGTTAGGCTTATAAAATGAAGTCGAATCATTAGAATCCATTTTAATTTTTTTGCTTTTGATTGTCCGATATGCCCCATTAGCCCGACAAATTCATTAGTGATTCCGACTTTATCTAAACGAAAATTGTTCCAAGCCGAGGAACTACGAATGCCGAGCCCAGTTAGCTTCTTACTATTCTAGAGTTGGTATCCGACAACTCGACAACCATAGAAGTTTTAGGTAGATTTTCGATCGTGTACTACGATCCATTATCGATGGGCTCTTAAGTAATCCTGCTCGCCAATCCGACTAGTTTTTTACGCTCCTATTTCTTTGCGGGTTGGAAGTGGTAGTATGAAGTTAAAATTTGGCATGGCGACCAGAGTGTGAAGGCGCATTGGGAATGACTTACCATCGGAAAAGTTTCTTGATAATTCAATATATGCATCCGAAATTGACACTCGCATTAGTTTGAAGCATGGGAAAAGCTAAATTTTCGAGTCTTCATTCCGAGTGTACTTTCTTTTTCCGAGCAACATTGCCAATATGTAAGAAGCGATACGATTACTCGACCAATATTCTATTCTGCGGTTTGCTGCATGGTGACATAGTCTTAACTGCATAATCTATCCGGGTTTATTTATAAAGGTTCGGCCGTCCGACCAATACATTTTCAAAGCGGAAACTAGAAAGTAATTAAGATTTTATCACCGCATTCGGAGTCACATTCACGCTGATTCACTCATGAAGGCTAATAGACGGGAAAAAAAAACTACAAGTGCTAAACCACACCTTATACATAATATGAAGCTAATTCACCGGTCACGACACTTCACTCGTCTATTACTGCCTAATTTGTTGTTGCTGAAAATGTAAATTTCGGATCACTCTATTTACGTGATGGCTTCCAACTCTTGGTGAAGACGTCTTGTTCGCATACCCGCATTGGTTGTCTTACGAACTGTGGAGCTAAAAGGATCGGGAGGCTTTGTTAAGTTGTCTCCCTCCCCTTCAAGCATTTGGACAACGGTTTTCATGGCGGGACGCTCTGTCGGGTTCCACTGAATGCACCACGGTCCCACGATTGCTAGTTTCTTTGCAATTTTTGCATTTTCTTCTCCATCAATATGAAACCGTAAGTCTTCTCCTTCTTCTAAGAGATTATAAATCCATATTGGGAAGTATATCCGGTCACCATTTTCTCGTCGTATCATCGACGTTCTTCTTTCCTCCGACCATTTCTAACACTAACATACCAAAGCTATAAACATCCGATTTATAGGACACATTCCCAAAGTTCCTTGAGAACACTTCCGTACGCAATGTAGCCAATAGTCCCCCTAGCGGTCGTCATGGAAATAGCACTTTTATCCTTGGAACACAACTTAGCCATACCAAAATCGGCAATTTTGGGATTGAAGTCCTTGTCAAGCGGGACATTATGTGGTTTGATATCAAAATGGAGGATTCTTTGATCACAACCCCGGTGAAGATATTCAATCCCTTTTGCTATGCCCAAAGCAATATGATTCAATCTTTCCCGACCAAGAAAATGGTTCCTTGACTCTGCTGAAGAAATGAACTTCGTAGTGAATCATTTGGCAAGTACTCGTAAACTAGAGCTCGTCTAAATCCATCGGCACGAAACCGATCAAGCGAACCACATTGACATGGTGAATCCTAGCCATCGTTCCCACTTCATTGACGAATTCCTCCCCATTTCCTGTGGAATTGTTGAGGAGCTTGACGACTACACCAATTTCATTGGTTAGCTTTCCTTTAAACACGATCCCATAAGCTCCTTGGCCCGATTCATCCCGGAATTGATTTGTGATCCTCTTAAGATCGAGCATAGGAGTATCTTGTGGGTGTCGGAGAATTGTAGTCATCCAAAAACATTTCAACCTTGTCTTGATATTCTCTTTCTAATTTATTATTGCTATATGCGCGGTAGAATGCAATGATCATTATGAGAAAGACGAAAAATCCTAAGATTACACTCGCATATAAACATTCTAAGTCGGGGAACTCTTCTTGTTTTTGGAAGTAATGTATTGAACCAAGTGTAAAATTGAGATCGAGCAAACTACTAACCGATAATCGGGAGCTTTCTCATCGTACTCGTAAAAGATGGTAAATTAATTAGCTTCTCATTTTTTTTTTGGAAAAATCATGAAAGCATCAACGACGAAAAGAATTTCTACTTGCTTGTGTGATTTATATTCTTAAAACCAACAACGAGCTGAAGTTAATTAGATTTACAACCGCAGTTGCCAATTGTAATGAGCAAAGTTGACATGATCTCCAAATAATCAAAATTTTGTCTACGATCATGAATAAGAATCCAAGAAAATCAATTAGCACGAAACATTAAAAAAAAAAAAAAAAACGAGAGGGAGAGAGAGAGATAAAAGCGTACCTTTAGTTCGCTTGTGAGTGTTGTGGCGTTCGGTCTCGGAAGATCCACAATCGGGGTTGGACCAAGACGGATGTAGTAAATAATTTTCTTGGTGCAAAATGTCATGTGGAATTGAAATAGTGTTGTACATCTTGGTACGGGATAATAAATAAAGGTCACTAATTGTATCGGTTGATTCAACGGCATAAACTTCGTGGTGATAAGTACTCGGACATGGGATAGTATGTGGGTATATTTCCTCACTAGAAGAACAATTGAATAAGGTCAAATCTTCCGGAAAATCATTCTTAATTTGGAATCGAGAAGCCGATAAGCCGAAGTTTAAACGTTGCCTTAGAAAGCAACCTTGAGGATCCCTTGCATAAATAACTTGATAGATATAGTCGATTCTTTCAATGTGGAGTTTCACTCCGGTTGGCGGCTCAAGCACTTGTATCGTTGCCCTCCGAGCGGGATAGATCAAACCCGGGATAGCCACGGTGCTCGCTTGCACTGTCCTTGATTCGGAAAGGAAATTGGATGTCGGGGCCATGGTTCCCACAAGATCCTATGCAATCCAAGCTTGCTCCATGGCTGCAAGGAAGAGAATAAACAAGAAGCGAGAACAAACATGGAATCATTTCTAATGAACGATTCATCATCTCCTCACTCTCTTTTATTGTGACGACTTTTTGTTCTTTGTGAATGTGAGTGAGAGACCAATATTGCACTTGAAATACTCAATAACAATCTCTCTAGTTACATTGCATTCACAACTAATGTGAATAGGCCTATATATGGAAACCTTTTTAATTTGAGAATGCGGACTTAACGAGAAAAAACGAGATTCTAACAAGTGGATTTTAAATACGAGTTGCACTCTTTATGCTTAGGCCGGGAAGGACTAGGAGTAGTGATGTCAAGAAATTACTAAGAAGCCTATAATTCTTCCTCATTGCATTGAGGGTGCATGAGGGGAAAAGTCCTCCTATGTGAAACTTCGAGGGATCGACCGGTGTTCCAATCAATGACTTATAATTGTCTATGTCGGAAGGACGGTAAATAGCGGTCTTTGGTGGGCTCTTTAACCTCTCGATTAGTAGGGGAGCTGGAAGGTGCCATCCCTGTCTTATGGCTCGAGATCAAATGAACCAAATAAAAGTCTATATTTTTGTCATGGACTGGAGGTTGCTCGAGATTGTATCTTACCTGCGAAACTTCAAGTGGGGACCAATGTTCCGAATCCATCACTTTATTTTGAGGCCTTTTTCTTTGTTCATATGCTATTGGGAATTGGGATTATTGCACACCGATCGCTATGCTTACCCTACGAGGGAAGGAAGCATATCTAGGAATATCCGGTGGAGTTGGATCTGGGAATATTGGGAGTTTTGGTCTTCGATGACATGCTCCAAGAAAAATGAGGTCGTGGGATGTCGATGCTTGTGGTGTTGATAGTTGATGACTTTCTTCTTCTCAATTCAAAGTTGATGGTTCTTTGTCATGAACGGGAAGAAGGCTGGTGGGAAATTAACTTCGACAATGAAGTAGCATGACATTCATTGTACTGCTTTATTACTACTCGTATTTTGACTTTGACATTTCAAAGGACGAGCGAAGTAACGATTTTACGTTCTTCACCTTCCATAGCACTATCACTCGCTTCCATCTGCGAAATTCATAAGTTCTTCTCGGAAAAATAAATAAATAAATAAAAACGATCATTTTCCGAAAAACAAATTTCCTTCTCCTAAAAGTTTTGTCTTATGGTTTTGGTACTGTGGTGGAAAGAACTAACACACATATGAAGCAAAAGCTTTTTAATATTCCATGGTGATTGCTCCCTCTCACTGGAAATTATTGATTTGAATGTTGCACTTGCTCTCTGGAATTGAAGAATTGTTTGTGCAAAAGCTTGTGTGGAGACACTCGTGTATCCCCTCGGCCTTCCTCATGTTTAGAGGAAGAAACCTCCTCTTTGCTTGCTACATAGCCTCTCTTTTCCATCTATCCGTCTTCCAAACTTGCCATTCTAGTAACATCACCACTCTTTGTTCACCTTCTTCATGTGGCAATATCCAAAACATTAGCTACCCTTTTCGACTAGACACTCGATCCACAAAGCTGCGGAAACTATAATTATACCCTAATCTGCGAGAAAAATACTTCTACGGTATTATATTTGTATTCGAGTAAATACTACGTGCGGGCAATCGACTATGTTAACTTCGGAATCCGAGTGGTAGATGCTTGGTGTACAAAATAATTGCTCCTCCTTCCCTCGTTCTTCTTTGGCACCCCATAACTTCGATTACGGAGATCCATACGCATGGTATAACTACGAGTGGACGGTGTCACAAAGACTAATTCGGCATTTCTTCAACGGTTGGAACGAATTGTCACCTCCTACACTATCACAGATTATGATTTTCTTGAGCTGTGAAAATCCGATGAATTCTTCTCTTTATGTGGACACGACTCCTTGCGGCCTTAACTATGGATCACTAAATCATTCCAACTCTTCTCTAGGATCGAGTAATTATAATTATGTGACTCTTGGGGGCATGAATGCCTCGGATTTGATGGAACTGTGCAGCATAGAGAAGATGCTTACGCTCCCAAAGATTGATTACGGGAACATCTCTTTTAAAGAAATTCACGGAGAACCGGCGTACGGGTTTGAGCTTTCATGGTTCAACGACCAATGTGAAAATTGCACGGAAGGTTGCTACCTCGACAGCGCAAACCGTCTTCAATGCATTGGTAAGTAATAAGTTGCATTAGTATTTTTTTCTATTTATGTCTATATTCATTCTGTCGACTCTAAACTTTGAATTCATTCTTAAGACTATTCATAAGATCTCTTAGCATGGAACATTTAAGGGTTACTTGGACGAGAAGATTGTCTTTTGCAATTTGAGGTTTTACATAGTGAAACTTTTGCTTCATCTTAATTTGATCATGGATATACATATATGAATGAGTCCAAATCATATAAATTACGTGTCGTTATCTATTTTCTTTCATTTTTTAATATTGTGTATTCGTTCCTTTCTTCTCAATTAAGGCACTTGTTTCATACCATTATAACTCCTTTTTAACCTATCTTTTGGGACAGATTTCAAGGATGAACACAACTTTTGGGAACTTCTAATCCTTTGGGTGATAAGTGAGAATTCTCTATCCGCATCTCACCGTGTTTGTGTATTTCTTCAAACAACATATTTGTGAAATCCTTCTTCGAAGGATTGCACAACTATTTGTTTCTTGCATAGTAATTCTAATTTTGTTCACCATTTCTGCGGCGTTGCTCTACTCTATTGCCCTTTTTGCGGGTAAGAACTTCTTTATTTCTTTAGTTTTAAACATAGTTCAATACCGGAGACACAATCAAAGACGACATAACTTGATTGTTTTCCGGAAATTTTGCTATACGACATTACTTCATGGGCCAAAAGTTGTTTGTGGGACTCCATGTGTGATTGTATTTTTGATCTACAAATGGCGAAGGAGACATTTATCGGTATACGATACGAGTTGAAGAATTCTTACGAGTCACGATAACCTAATGCCAATAAGGTATTCTTACTCGGATATCGGGAAGATAACTAGAGGTTTCAAGGACAAATTGGGTGAAGGAGGCTTTGGTTGTGTGTACAAAGGAAATCTTCGTAGTGGTCGTTTCGCGACGGTAAAAATTTTGGGCAAATCTAAAGCTAATGGACAAGATTTCATAAACGAAGTTGCTACGATTGGAAGGATTCACCACACTAATGTGGTGCAACTAATTGGTTTTTGTCTTCGAAGGATCAAAGCGTGCTCTTGTATATGATTTCATGCCAAATGGATCTCTTGATAGTCACTTATTTTCTCGAGAAGGATCTCGTCTCTTTAAGTCGGGAAAAATTGCATGACATTTCCATTGGAGTGGGTCGTGGCATCGAATATCTTCATCGAGGTCTGTGAGATGCAAATCCTACATTTTGATATCAAGCCTCACAACATTCTTCCGGATGAAAATTTCACACCAAAAGTTTCGACTTCGGGCTTGCTAGGTTGTACCCAACGAATGGCGGCATCACATCTCTTACGGCAGCAAGGGGCACGATAGGATACATGGCTCCTGAACTGTTCTACAAAAACATTGGACGTGTCTCATATAAAGCCGATGTTTACGGCTTCGGCATGTTGCTATTGGAAATGGCGAGGCAAAAGGAAGAATCTAAACCCATTAGCGGAAAAGTCAAGTCAAATCTACTGGCCGTATTGGGTTTATGACCAAGTATCAAATGAAAAGGCCATAGAAATTGGAGAAAATGCCACGGAGGATGAAAGTAAGATGGTTAAGAAGATGATTATAGTAGGGTTGTGGTGTATACAAATGAAACCTATCAATCGTCCTGCAATGAACAAGGTCGTGGAGATGCTTGAAGCGGATCCGGAAAACCCGCAATTGCCTCCTAAGCCTATTCTAAATCTAGATGAGACGCCGATTACTGATTGAAGGAGATTCATCGTCCATGTATGATGATTCTACCGAATCTATGAGTTTGGTTGAAAATGCATGCTAAGTGATAAGATATAAGGAATACTCGCTCGTATGCGAGGGAAAAATGATAGAACAAGTGTGCTTTCCGTTTTAGTTATTTGTTGAAAAACATTACAATAATTGATAATAATTCATGTTATCTTATTTGTTTTTAACTAATTTAGACTTCAAGCTGTGGCTTGTTCGTTCGTCTTAGTCCATGTAATCAAATACTGGTATGTTCCCTATTGTGTTCGGACGCAGTTTGCATATAACAAAGAATACGTTTTTGAATTCCATAGCTGCGAGAGCTAGCGGGCGTTAGTCCAGTGAAAAATGAAGGTTAAACTACACATTTCTTTCGTGGATGTTAGTCAATTCGAGGCATGAGACCACGGTCAAAATGCCATTCCATGGTAGCTTAATGCTTACAAGAATTGCATAATGTGATACCTAGAGTTTATAGATCTTCGGAAGATACGGACATAGAGGAATTAAAGAATTTGTAATCGATTTGTACGGAAATACAACTTCGGATTGTTAGGTTGAGGTCAAGCCTCGGGCATTTCAATCCCGGATCGGTGTGAAAAAAAATACTATTGTTCCTCTCGTGCTTCAAAGTATTACACATAATCAAATTAATCTTACAAGAGATTATGATTTCATTGACCATATTTAGGAAAGCATTCATGCTAATCCACAACAACTGACTCATAAATCATGGCCACTAAACCGTCCTGTTGCTAACTCATCCGCTATTACGGATAACCTCAACTTATGATTACTCTGTTTCTTACATGACTCGTCATAGGTCAAACGGATCATAAAAAAAACATTTTTTTTTTTCAAAAAGGAAAAAGAATTATTAATATTTTTTTTAAAAAAAATCTTACTTACCGTTATACATCGAAAAAAGAAGGGACTAAAATCAAGATTCTTCCACCTAAATTCATCCCAACAGACAAGACTATACACAAAAGTCTCCACGAGAAAAACCTTCGTCTTATAAGGAATGTTAGGGCCACAAAGGTTTTTCCGGCTTTAATAAATCTTAATATAATAGTAACATGTAGTTGATTCTTAAAGGAAAAAAAAGTACATATATAGTTGTTGACAAATTTTGTTATTTCTTTTTTCTAAAAAAATAAAAATAAAAATAGGGAAATTTTATCCCACACCACAATGGCCGGTTTGGCACTACACTGACAAAGGCTTTTTAGGGCCAAGACATTCGTATCAAAATAGAAACCCAAGGAAAAAGCCTACAAGTGAAGCATTAAGGGTCCAGATACCAAATCACACACATAAGCCAAGCCCATTGTTTGAAGAGGTCTTTACGTTGCTGTCTGTCCGTCTGTTGGGTTCTTGTAAGAATTCATAATTTTGTACAAGGAAAGATCGGCATATGTTGGTTAAGCTGCAAAGGATGGAGCAGAAGAAAGGGTTAAACCCTATGACGGTCTGAATTAAAGATGTTATATTGCTGTCTTAAAATATTTCAATTTCTACTTTTGAAGGAGATCTCAAGTCACTTCAGTTTGTAATGAAGGAAGATGTGGGAACCTTGTAAAAGATCTTTTGATGTTAGTCGGACCCAACTCCATCAGTATATTTTTAGGTCCAGATATCAAATCAAAACCATGCAGAGAAAACTTCAGGAGCTTTTGCATGAATCAATAATTTTGCCTCACGAATGATCATGTAAACTAATGTTTTTTATGAGACAATTTTTGTGAGTATTACCACTGACGAACTGTTGAGATATTAGCAATATGATAATGCCCATTTTTTTGTTGAATTCTAGCCATTGTTCCCACTTCATTGACGAACATTTTTAAAGCAGAAGTTGCAAGTAATCAAGATGTTATCATCTCATTTTGAATAACGTTCAAGCTAATCTACAAGCAGTACTAAGCCACACCTGACACATAAATAATGAAGCTAACGAACACGTCACAACACTTTATTGCATTATTGTTGCCTAATATAATTATTACTGAAAAAGTAAATTTCTGGTCATTCTATTTCTGAGATGGCTGCCAACTCTTGGCGAAGACGTCTCACTGGCATTCCTGCATTTGTTGTCTTAGGAACTGTGGAGCTAAAAGGATCAGGAGGCTTTGTTAAGTTGTCTCCCTCTCCTTCAAGCATTTGGACAACAGTTTTCATGGCAGGACGCTCTGCTGGGTTCCACTGAATGCACCACAGTCCCACAATGGCTAGTTTCTTTGCAATTTTTGCATTTTCTTCTCCATCAATATGAAACCGCAAGTCTTCTCCTTCTTCTAAGAGATTATAAATCCATTCTGGGAAGTATATCTGGTCACCATTTCCTGCTGTGTCATCGACGTTCTTCCTTCCTCCGACCATTTCTAACACTAACATACCAAAGCTATAAACATCTGATTTATAGGACACATTCCCAAAGTTCCTTGAGAACACTTCCGGGGCAATGTAGCCAATTGTCCCCCTAGCGGTCGTCATGGAAATAGCACTTTTATCCTTGGAACACAACTTAGCCATACCAAAATCGGCGATTTTGGGATTGAAGTCATTGTCAAGCAGGACATTATGTGGTTTGATATCAAAATGGAGGATTCTTTGATCACAACCCTGGTGAAGATATTCAATCCCTTTTGCTATGCCCAAAGCAATATGATTCAACCTTTCCCATCCAAGGAAATGGTTCCTTGAATATTCTGCTGAAAAAATGAACTTCTGTAGTGAACCATTCAGCAAGTACTCGTAAACTAGAGCTCGTCTAAATCCATCAGCACAGAAACCGATCAAGCGAACCACATTGACGTGGTGAATCCTAGCCATCGTTCCCACTTCATTGATGAATTCCTCCCCATTTCCTGTGGAATTGTTGAGGAGCTTGACAGCTACATCAATTTCATTGGTTAGCTTTCCTTTAAACACAGTCCCATAAGCTCCTTGGCCCAATTCATCCTGGAATTGATTTGTAATCCTCTTGAGATCAGCGTAGGAGTATCTTGTAGGTTTCAGAGATCTGTAATCATCCAAAAACATTTCAACCTTGTCTTGAAATTCTCTTTCTAATTTATCATTGCTACATGAGCGGTAGAGTGCAATGATCCCTATTGCAAAGGCGAAAAATCCTAAGATTACACCTGCATATAAACATTCTAAGTCAGGGAACTCATCTTGTTTTTGGAAGTAATGTATTGAACCAAGTGTAAAATTGAGATCAAGCAAACTACTAACCAGTAATCAATAGCTTTCTTCCCACACCTGTAAAAGATGTTATATTTATTAGTTTCTCATCCTCTGGAAATTGGTAAAATCATGAAAGCAACAAGGAAAAGAATTTCTACTGCTGTGTGATTTATACTGTAATACAAGTACGTAGACACGAATTCCGAATATTCAAAATTTTAATGTCACAACAATGAATAAGAATCCAAGAAAATCAAATTGCAGGAAGCATGAAACATAAGGAAAAAAAAAAAAAAGAAGAAGAAGAGGTAAAAACATACCTTTAGTTTGCTCGTGAATGTTGTAGCATTCAGTTTCCGAAGATCCACAACTTGGATTGGACCAAGACAAAGGTAGTAAATAGTTTTCTTGTTCAAACATACCATATGGAATTGAAAAAACGTTGTACATCTTTGTACAAGATAATAAATAAGGGTGACTTACAGAATGACTTGATTCAGCAGCATAAACTTCGTGGTGAAAAGTACTCAGACATGGGATTTTAACTATGTTCGGAGATCTTTCCCCATTAGAAGAACAATTGAATAAGGTCTGATTACACATCCAATCATCCTTAATTTGGAAGTGAGACGCAGATAAACTGAAGTTCAAACGCCTTAGAAAGAAACATTGAGAATCCCTTGCATGAATAACTTGATGTCTATAATCGATTCTTTCAATGCGGAGTTTCACTCCAGTTGGCAGCTCAAGCATCGTATCCTTTCCCTCTGAGCAGGATAGATCAAAACCAGGATAGCCACAGTGGTCTGCTTGCTTGTCCTTGATTCGGAAAGGAAATCGGATTTTAGGGCCATGCTTCCCACAAGATCTTATGCAATCCAAGCTTGCTCCATGGCCAGCAAGGAAGAGAATGAACAAGAAGTAGAACAAACATGTAACCATTTCTGATGAATAATTCATCATCTCCTCACTCCTCTTAACATTTTATCTATATGTTCTGATATAGTTTTGGCCTTTCAGAAAATTCATTCAGGGTCATGCTTCCTTACATGAGAAATTATTGATACTTCTAGTGTGTTGCTCCCTTTCATGGGGGATCCATTTATCGTGACGACGTTTTGTTCTACGTGAAAGCGAGCGAGGGAGCAATATTGCACTGAAATGCTCAATAATAATCTCTCTACTTACGTAGCGTTGATCACAACTAATGTGAATAGGCCTATATATGGAAACGTTTTTAATTTGGGAGTGTAACTAGATTCTAACAAGTGGGTTTTAAATACATGTTGCAATCTTTATGCTTAGGCCAAGAAGGGATTAGCTAGGAGTAGTGATATTAAGAAATAACTAAGAAGCCTACAATTCTTAATCATTGACTTGGAGTAGCGTGCATGATAGGAAAAGTCCTGCTATGTGAAAAGCAAGAAGCTCAGAAGAAATTCAGAGATGGACCAATCCATTCACTAGCATTGAGGGCATTAGGCGATCACGAAGGAAAATTCTTGTGTCTTCTCATTTTCAACTTTTATTGAGGATTTTAATAATTGAGGTTCTATATATTAGTAAAGCATATGTTCTTCCCATCATCTTTCTCATTAGATAAATTAGACCATAGAAATTTATTAAGTAAAAGAAGTGCTTTGGGTAGTTTTAGCATTGGCTGGTTATCAGGGATCAAAAAGGAAAATGCTTGTGTCCTCTTATATCTAATTGTTATCGGGAATTTCAATGAAATTGAGGTTCTAGCTATTAGTGAAGTCTTGAAGATAAATTCTTCCCATCATCTTTTCGCATAAGATGAACTGCATCATAGATATTGATTTATTAGACGAAGCGTATGCTTTTGGTTATTCAAAATACTAATGAAAGACCATGGAGAATGCATAATATTTTTATGAATATCGATATCAATTAGCTTTATCATAATTAATATAGATGATAATAAGATTGCAGATAGTTTGGCTAAATAAAAAGTGAGCAGACATAAATGCTATTTTGCTTGGCTAAAGTATTTTCATTTCTACCTCGTAATCTTTTTTTTCTCCCATGGACTAGATGACTCTCTTAATCTAATTTATTTTCATAAAAAAAAAAAAAAGTCTTGCTATGTGAAACTTCCAGTGAATGATCAATGTTCCAATCAATGACGACTTGTAATTGTCAATGTCAGAAGGACTGTAAATAGCGGTCTTTGATGGGTTCTTTCAACTCTCAATTAGTAGGGGAGTAGGTATGTGCCATCCCTGTCGTATGGCTCAAGATCTAATGAACCAAACAAAAGTCTATATTTTTGTCATGGACTGGAGGTTGCATGAGATTGTATCTTACGTCTGCGAAACTTCAAGTGAGGACCAATATTCCAAATCAATCACTTTATTTTGGGGCCTTTTTCTTTGTTCATAAGCTTTTGGGAATTGGGATTATTGCTGATCACCATGTTTACGTACCCTACAAGGGAAGGAAGCATATCTAGGAATATCTGGTGGACTTGGACTGGGATTGGGAGTTTTGGTCTTCGATGACATGTTCCAAGAAAATACTAATAATAAAAAAAATCAGCAAATATATTCGAAGAAATGGAGCAAAATTCTAACGTTTTAGTCAATTGTGACCGGATAACACACCATCGTACTATGATTAAAAATCCTATTACTTAAGTACTAGTTTGATTATTTTATAAGAGTTGAGGTACTCAAATAAAAGTTTAATAAAAATATAGGCGCTAAATTTTCCGTTATCTCCATACAAATATACAACAAAGATATAATTTAAAATTTGACCGCACCCACCGATAATCCTACGTTAGTTTCATAACCAAATGACTCATTTTTCTTTTTCTTTTTTTAATCTATTCTGGTTAAATAGTATTTCTCATTTTCGAAAGCTGATAATTTCATTAATGTACTTTATTTTCAAAGGTTCTTTGTCATGGAAAACAAGAAGGTGAGAAATTGGGTTCGACGACGAAGGAGTGACCAATCATTTATTTTCTGCCTTATAACTACTCCTATGGCTTTGAAATTTCAAAGGACAGCCTGGTAGAAAATTTACTCCTCACGGTTCCACTAAGAAATTGATAAGTTCGTCAAGGAAAAAAAAAAAACTTATGCCTCTTAAACTTTTGTTTAATGGTTTGGATTTGGGGTGCTGTGATGGGAACTAACACAAGCTCCACCCACTCAACACACAGCAGAGGCAAAAGCTTTTCTAGTATTTGCTGTTGGACTGCTTTCGGGCTTGAAGAAAAGTTTGTGCGAAAACTGTGTATGTGTGTGTCTTCAGCCTTCCCCATGTTTAGAGGAAGAACCCTCCTCTTTGCTTGCTACGTAGCCTTTCTTTTCCAGCTATCAGTCTTCCAAACTTGCCATTCTAGTAACATCACTACTCTTTGTGCACCTTCTTCATGTGGCAATATCCAAAACATTAGCTACCCTTTTCGATTAGCCTGCGATCCACTAAAGCTGCGGAAAATATAATTATACCCTAATCTGCGAGAAAAATACTTCCACGAGTACTATATTTGTATTCGAGCAAATACTACGTGCGAGCAATCGACTACGTCAACTTCGGAATCCGAGTGGTAGATGCTTGGTGTACAAGATAATTGCTCCTCCTTCCCTCGTTATTCTTTGACACTCGATAACTTCGGTTATGGAGATCCATACGCATGGTATAACTACAAGTGGACGGTGTCACCGGAACTAATTCGTGCGTTCTTGCGCAACGTGACGGAAGGGTATTGGTCACCTCACTATCACGGCTCATGATTTTCACGAGCTGTAAAAATCCGATGAATTCTTCTCTTTATGTGCACACGGCTCCTTGCGGCCTTAACTATGGATCATCAAACTATTCCAACTCTTCTCTTGTGACTAATTATAATTATGTGACTCTTGGGGACATGAATGCCTCGGATTTGAGGGAACTGTGCAGCATAGAGAAGATAGTTTTGGTTCCAAAAATTGATCACGGGAACATATCTTTTAACGAAATTCGCGAGAAGCGGCGTACGGGTTTGAGCTTTCATGGTACAACGATCGGCTGTGAAAATTGCGCAAGAGGTTGCTACCTCGACGAGCGCAAACCGTCTTCAATGCATGGACGTTTGTAAGTAATAATTAATGATTTAAGTTGTATTAGTATTTTTTTTTTTATGTCTATATTCGGTCGGTCGATTCTAAACTTTGAAGAATTCATGGTTACGGACTTGAATCTCTTAGCATGGAACATTTAAGTTTATCTATTTTCTTCCATTTTTTACTTTGTGTATTCGTTTCCTTCTTCTCAATTAATGTCCTTTTATACCATTCTAACTCTTTTTTAACCTAACTTTTGGGACAGATTACGGAATTCGGGAAGTTCGACCGCACTCGGGAGTTGGGTGCGCATTCTCTATCTGCATCTCACCATGTTTGTGTACTTTCTTCTATTTATGTCTATATCCATTTAGTGGATTCTAAACTTTGAATTTCTTCATAAGACTACATAAGATCTCATACATTGGAATTCATGATTCCATTAGAATTCATGATTACGGACTTGAATCTCTCAATATGGAACATTTAAGGTTACTTAGACCGAATCCTTGTCTTTTGCAATGTTGAGTTTTACATAGTGAAACTTTTGCTTCAACTTAATTTGACATGTATATACATTAGAATGAATGAATCCAAATCACATAAATTACGTGTTGTTATCTACTTTCTTTCATTTTTCAACTTGTGCATTCGTTCCCTTCCTCTCAATTAGTGTCCTTGTTTTATACCATTATAACTCCTTTTTAACTTAACTTTTGGGACAGATTTCGAAGGCTTTTGGTTATTTCTACTCCACGGGGGAAGGTGGATAGGTGCGAAATTTCTATCTCACCATGTTTGTGCATGTTCTTCTATTTATGTCTATATTCTTTCGGGTATACACTCGATCATTCTTTTGTAAGCCATCACATTAAGGGTATACACTAGATCATTTTCTTCACGTATTAAGAGTATTCATCATATCATTTCCTTAGTATGTCCTCTTGTGAACCATACAAAGAGTATCCATTAGATTATTCCTTTTGTATATTTTGCAAAGAATATACACCGGATCATTCCATTTACAAACCTGTCTTAAAATATGAACATGACTTTTCTTTGAATTCTTAAAGTCATGCTTAAATATTTTCATGACATGAATGCAATTGGAATGCTTATCAAGAATGTACATGAACATAAACCATATGGCATTAAGCCATGACTAGGTTGAAACATCAAGCCTTAAAATAACATGATCCCAATCAATCACCAAATTAATCTGAATTTTATCAAGCCATAACAACATTAAGCATTTCTATGGCCATAGGCCGAATGCATCACAAGACGTAAACATATAATCTTTCATTAAACCTACCTAACCAAAGATATTACATTTATCAAAACCATATATTTGTCAATGGATATTGCATATCATGGCTTCACAATTTTTGTTAACAAAATCACTTGTCATGGCTTCATAATTTTCATCAACGAAAATCACATTTCATGGCTTGGCATTTTCATAAATGAATCTCATACCATAGCTTGGTACTTTTTGTCAACAAAAATCTCATGTCATGAATTGACACTTTCGTCAATAAAAACATACAACAACAACTAATTGAGCACGATAAGTGTGATACCCACAAAAAGTATACATCAAATCATTCCTTTTTGTAAATCATGATTGAATATGTGACTATGACGCCCATAAAGAGTTGATTATTCTCTGTGTGTCATGATTAAGCCTGTGACTATGATTGACACATGTCTAGCCTTTTTTTAAAAAAATCCATGCACTTGATTTTATCTTAATGAACATGATGGAAAGCTGTTTCATGACGTGAATGTGAACAATGACATGAAATGTAATCCATGAATATTAATTAACCAACAAACCAAGTCAAATACCATTGAACACAAAATATTCTTTAATAAAACATTAACAATACATGAAAACACCATTAAACCAATCTATGAACATCAAGATCATTGAAATGGCCACTAGAACGAATTCTACCACAGCCATTCCATGACCAATTTCAACATAAAACAAATTAATTATCACATGAATCCTTTATCAAAAAGTCATGTCTCCAATGACTTGCACAATTAATATATAACATAACAAAATACATTAACCATACAAAAGACTACTCCTGGCCGAAACTCCCAAAACAAACTAAGTGCATCACACTTGTCTTAGTCATAATCAAGCATACAACCAATCGATTTTCATCTAAACACACACCATCATTCAACTTAAATATGCTAACATTAACATGATTATCATTAAACACATAAAAATTATACCAATCCATCAAAATTTTAGATTTTTTATATCAATATACCAAAATCCAGATTTGATCAACACATATTAACAATCAATAACTTCATGGTTTTAGCAACTTTAAGGTTTCTAAATCTTGTTTTAACCAAAAGATTTCATCATTTAACTTAAATAAACTAAAGCTAACTTGATTATCATTAAATACATGTAAATCTTACCAATTTACTTATAATTTCAGATTTGATATTTCTTTCCTCAAAATCTAGATTTGTCTCAAAGACAACAACCACCAATACTTCATCAATTCAATAATTTAAATCTAAATTTTGTTGAAGCCTAATTTCATCCTTAATCAATTGATTCAACACATGATCCATCATAATCAATCATCAATTGACATACCCATTCAATAATTAACCTTCATTTCTACTAACAATCAATCACCCAAACATGAATAAACTTTAATCAAGCATAAACACACAATCAACTCAATTAAACCAATTAAACCAATTAATCTTAGCTTTATGATTATGGTCAAATTCATCAATTAAGGTAATCAATTCAAATTTATCAATCAAACTCCTTAAATCATTCTAAAGAACATCTAATAACCTAAAATCTTGAAATCCAACCATTTTTTCCAAAATTCACAACTTAGCCAAAACTTTCACCATCCAATACCCAACTTTAATTCATCAACCTAACTTTAATTAAACCATCCAACATGATCATTCAGCCATTACAAACATGATCTCAATAATAATTCATCAATATCATTCAATTACTATAAAACCCAAATAATTGAATAATTAACCACAATTTCTAAAACTTCAAAACATTAACAATCAAGCATCCATTTATCATAATCTTGTGATATAGTGAGGACTACACTTATCTCATTTGATATTTGATCAAATTCCTCCTTAGTAGCTTAAAGTTTCCTCCTCATTTTCTTTCTTTCTTGTTTCGGCCAAATCTCCAATTTTTCATCCTCCTTTATTTGCTTTCTTTAAGTGATTCTAGGGTGAATTTGGGGTATATCTAAGGTAGTTTAGGTTGGTGGATAGATTTAATTTGCTTGAATTCAAGTTGATTCACCTTGAATTTCTAATTTTCCATCACCCTTTTTCTTCCTTTTCTTGCCCAATTTAAAGAGATATATTTCCTTGTGATTTTGCCAAGTGTGAGACACTTGGTTTTATCCTTCCTTCAATCACTTCTTTTAATATTCTCTCTAGAATTCTCTCCATTTCTCGTTGATATTTTCTATCTTTTTCTCCTTTTTGCCAACTTAAACTCCCTTTCTCTTGCTTTTTAGTTTAGTTTAAATCTAGATATACGGGACCAATTCTAGTTGAATTAAATGGTTCTTTAATTTTCCAAAACCTTACATTTTGGTCTCTAAACTTCCTTAATTATTTTAATCGAGTCCTTCAATTTAAGTCCCTAAACTTTCAATTTTCAACATTCTAGACCTTATCTAGGCTTTTCCATTTGAATTTTTTAATCACTTTAATCAAGTACCCAATCTTTTAATTGTAGCAATTAAAACTCCTAAAATCTTGTAATTACGTCCTTAAATTATAACAATCATAACAATTAATATTATAAGATCACTAATTCAAGCATTAAATAATTATTTACCTCCGATAATATTTATGCATGCATTAGTTTATTTTATATGCAAATATAAAATATTAATTCATTCTTTAAATAAATGTTATCATATTAAATAATTAAATTATTCATGCAATATATTTATGCTTGAGGAGGTTTTTAGGTTGAGGATATTACATATGGTAAATGATTAAAATTTTGAATTATAAGAATCACCTCAAATGTTCAAAAAAAAAAAAACTTATATTTGGATCTTGAAATCGTTATGAATGATCATGGTATAGATATTGTAAGAATGAAGTCCTTTAAAAATATAAATCCAAGTGAAAATTCTACTATTTGAATATCTATAATAAAAAAATAGAAATAACCAATAAGAATCTATATTACTATCTTATTTATCCATGAGAATTATCATCCTAGTTAATTGTTAGGAGTACATGAATTGAAAGCTATATTCATATCGTTAATATATCCTAAAATTTTGTATATATGAAATATCGTTCATCCCTTACAAGTATCAAATGCAATCATATTCTTTGCACTACAAGTAAGAGTGGTTTATACTTCATTTGAAGTATAATTACTGCTTATAAGAATTAAAACTTCAATATTAACATTAGAAAGAAAGACATGTACTACTTTTAATAAAATATTGCATGTATTTAATGTGACCTTGAAGACAAGAATAGCCAAAACTTGGTTTAATCTTGTATTGTCAAACTTTCAAAAGTGATTCTAGGAAAAAAAAAAAAAAGGCTAAACAAGTGCAACAAGAGGTTACAATCCAAGTAGGACCTTAGGCTTTCAAAATAAAACAAACTATTGGTCAAAGACTAAGAGAACACGAGTTCCTTCCATCCGTAAAGGAGAATTACATGATATAAAAATGTTTTAGAAAATCTACTAAGGTACTTAAAAAGAAAATCAATTCTTGCTCGCATAATGAAGGGAAAAAAAAGCTCTTATTTGAGCTTGTAGAGTTGTAGAGACTCTTGTTTGAGCATGCAAAATTGCAAATTCTAGCTGAAATTATAAGAGTCCAGCCTTTTTTACACAAGGTCATGACCCTAACTTCAAGATCTTTTATTTTCTTATTAACTCTGAAGGCTTTGAGTGGAAAGAGAGTTAAAGAGAATTGAATCATCTTTACAAGCAAAAAAAAAAAAAAAAAAAGGATGTAGAGCTAGAATCCTATTGTGTTATGTGAACTTACAATTGTGTGAGTGGACCTTGTAGAGACTATAATACATTCTTGAAAGGCCCAACAACATTTTGGGAGAGCTCAATATTTTAAAGACCTCAAAATATATTAATATAATCCATAGAATGAAGATCCAAAATAGTAGATTTCAAGAAAGTTTTTAGGTTAAATGGCGAAGAAGATGCATCTTCTAAAAAAAGAAAAAAAAAGGGGGGGGACTTTGGATAAGAAGAAGAGTTTATAATTGAAAAAGAAAAAGTAAAGTAAAGAAACTTCTAACAAATGGTGCATTTAAATAGGTTTATAAGAAGTGAAAAGACTTGTTTTACAATAGATATATTAGAATAATCTTGTACCTTACAAATTGGAAGTTAGTTATTAACTATAGAAGAAATTTCTTTTCACACATGAGGTAAACACTTATATATAGAAAGAAAAAGGACAAATGTTAGATCTAAAATTTAATCTAGCTTGCAAACCCAATAAATTACATCATTTAAAAAAGGCATGTTGGATGATTGAGGAATTAAAATCTTTTAGGTGAGAAGTTCATGGATCATAGACTCTTAAAGTTATGACAATTAGATGAGATAAGAATGTGGAAGAACTTTTCTAACAATTAGGAAAGAGGTGGATGCTAAATAAAGTGTGATAATAACAAGAATGAACTGCTATTTGTTAAATTTTCCAACAATTAGAAAAAAATTGGTGATTATAAAAGAACACGGAGCATGATTATATCAATTGTAAAGAAACGTGAAGCATTGAAGCTAGCGCATGTAGTTAGTTGCAAGGAAATATAGAGCATTGCAAGATAGTATGAAAAAATGTAAAGAAATGTGGGATATTGTAAAGATTATAGAGGAGAAAGAAGCTTATAAATACAAGGGGCAATAAGAGAAGATCCAACATAGAGACAATCAATAACTCAACTACCTTGTACACGAGCAAGACATTCTAAAAGCACATTCCTATGTTTCAAAACATTTAAAATTTGTTAGGTAGTAATCAAGATAGGTTGATAGTTTGGCTCTTTAGTTCTATAATGTATTTACAACTTGTGTTTGTAATATTCAAGAGCTGAATATCCGTAAAAACATCATCTATGAAAAAAGAGTTCCAATTTGTAATATTCTCCATCGGTAATGATGTTCATTTTGAATTCTATACTTTAGAAAAAGGCGAGTAGAGTACATAAACAATTTAAGTTGGATCTGTCTTTGCATATTCCCTTACAATAAATCAACTTTTATTCTTTCATTAAAAAATTCTTGATAATCAAAACGGATACAAAAGAATCCACAAATGTAACATTTAAAGTTATTTGGACGGAACATATATATATATATTTTGCAATTTGCAAATAGCGAAACTTTTTGCATCATCTTAATTTCACCATGAATATACATAAGAATGAATGAGTTCAAATCACATAAATTAGGTGTTGTTATCTATTTATTTAATTTTTTTACTGTTGTTCGGTCGTCCTCTTCTACTAAATTAATTCTCTTATTTTATACCATTATAATTCCTTTTTAACCTAACTTTTGGGACAGTTGTCATCATTGATAACCGCTTTTGGCAATTTCTACTCTACTACCCGAAAGGTGTGAATTCGCTATCCGTATCTCACCATGTTTTTGTGTTTCTTCAAACGACATATTTGTGAAATCCTTCTTTTCGGTAAGAAGGATGGCACAACTAGTTTTTTCTTGCATAATAATTGTAATTTTGTTCCCCATTTTCTGCGGCGTTGCTCGGCTATATCGCCTTTCTTTTTGGTAAGAACTTTTTAATTTCTTTAGTTTGAAACATAGTTCAATACTAGAGATATCATAAAAGAAAACACAACTTGATTGTTTTTTGAAACTTTTGTATACGGCATTACTTCACGGGCTAAAAGTTGTTTGTGGGACTCCATGTGTGATTATATTTTTGATCTACAAATGGCAAAGGAGACATTTATCGGTATACGATACTGTTGAAGAATTCCTAGAGAGTCACGATAACTCGATGCCAATAAGGTATTCTTACTCGGATATTAGGAAGATAACTAGAGGTTTCAAGGACAAATTGGGTGAAGGAGGCTTTGGTTGCGTGTACAAAGGAAACCTTCGTTGTAGTCGTTTTGCGGCGAGTAAAAATGTTAGGCAAATCGAAAGCTAATGGACAAGATTTCATAAACGAAGTTGCTACCATTGGAAGGATTCACCATACTAATGTGGTGCAACTAATTGGTTTTTGTCTTTGAAGGATCAAAGCGTGCTCTTGTATATGATTTCTTGCCGGATGGATCTCTTGATAGTTACTTATTTTCTCGAGAAGTATCTATCTCTTTAAGCTGGGAAAAGCTGCATGATATTTCCCTTGGAGTAGCTCGTGGCATCGAATATCTTCATCGAGGTTGCGAGATGCAAATCCTACATTTTGATATCAAGCCTCACAACATTCTTCTCGATGAAAATTTCACTCCAAAAGTTTCGACTTTGGGCTTGCTAAGTTGTACCCAACGAATGGCGGCATCACATCTCTTACTGTCTGCAAGGGGCACGATAGGATATATGGCTCTCGAATTATTCTACGAAACATTGGACGTGTTTCATATAAAGTCGATGTTTATAGCTTTGGAAAGTCTGCTATTGGAAATGGTCGGCAAAAGGAAGAATCTAAATGCTTTAGCGGAAAAGTCAAGTCAAATCTATCGGCCATATTGGGTTCATGATCAATTATCTAATGAAAAGGACATAGAAATTGGAGAAAATGCTACGGAGGATGAAAGTAAGATGGTTAAGAAGATGATTATAGTAGGGTTGTGGTGTATACAAATGAAACCTATCAATCGTCCTGCAATGAACAAAGTCGTGGAGATGCTTGGAGAGAGATTTAGAAAGCCTACAATTGCCTCCTAAGCCTATTCTAAACCTAGATGAGACACCGAGTACAAATTGGAGGAGATTCATTATCCATGTCCGATGATTCTACTCGAATCTATGAGTTTGGTTGAAAATGCACACTAAACTATATGATATAAGGAATGCTCTGCTCATATGTAGGAGAAAATGATTGAACGAGAGTGCTTTCGTTTTAGTAATTTGTTGAAAAATATTACGATAATTAGTAATAATTCTGTTATATTATTTGTGTTACTAATTTAGACTTGAAGTCGTGGCTTGTTTGTTCGAGACTTAGTCCATGTAAAACGGATATGTTTTTGGACTCCATAGCTAGTGAGAGCTAGCAGGCGTTAATCCATGTGTAAAATGAAGCTTTCACTACACATTTCTTTCGTTGATGTTAGTCAATTCGAGGCATCGAGGCCACAGTCAAAATGCCATTCAATCGTAGCTTAGTGCTTACATGAATTACTTAATTGCATTATTATCTTTAATGTCAAAGAATCTCATGTTGGCTTACAATTTACGGTGGGACTCTAGGAGTTGGTGTTGAGGAATCGTAGATACGGGCATATGTTTAAGAACAAAGACATGAGACTATCGTCGACCACTGGAAGCTAGGATAACTTAAAAACCATTTTCACAATTAGTGCACCTTCCCTATTTAGCTAGGATAAATTCTCAACACCAATTTTCACAATAAAATAAAGTTGCACTTAATCAAATACTTAAGGATAAGATTGAAAAATCATTTAGTTTTCATGTACTTCATTTAAAAAGTTAATAAACATTATGGGACATCCTAAAAGAAACATGGATAATCTAAGTGGTTAGAGAAGGTAACATTATGAGGATTTAATAATGATTAGTACAACCAGCTTGTGTATTAGATTTTTTTTAATAATGTTTTGTTCCTTTTATTTCTCTACAAAGACCTCAATCATATTCCGGATTATATATATATATATATATATATATATATATATATATATATATATATAAAGTGCTTTGAAATTCTATTGGAGAAAATGGACATTAAGAAATAATAAAATAATATATAATTAAAAAAGAAGAAGAATCAAGCTGAGCTGGACGCGCGGAAGGTCTGCATGCATGGGCCAGGTGGCAATCGGGCTCGAGCGCCTACGCTAGAAGCATCTAGCCTTGGACTTTAAAAACGTGGCAAACAACGCGTCGTTTGTGAGGATTAATGCATCGTTTGCCACCAGCGGTGGCATTGCAACTCCGTCGCCGTCGTCTGCAAATGGTCGAAAAAAAATTAAAAAAAGCTGCTGTCTTTGAACTTCCACACCGAATTTCTACATCTTTTTCACCTAAAAACACCCTAAAATCATTTTAAGAACTTGTAAAAAATCATTTTGAACATCAAAATACGCTCTAAAATAACGCTAGATATGGCTTTCTCTCTCCTCCCTCAACATTCAGAGACCCCGTCGTAAAACAAATAAAGTTTAGGGACTGTTTTGTATAGAATTATAACCTTCAGGACCAAAGTGTCATCAAAGTAATTGTTTTATAAAAGAAAAATCACTCCATTTTTTTTAATAAAATGACGCTGTTTCAAGCTCGAAAATTTTTAAAAAATTATTCATTATATTAACGACTTAACTATAACTATAGTAAAACTATATTTAGTTTTAGTTTTTTTTTTTTAATAATATATTTTAAAATATAAATATAACCTAGGATAAACAAACTACTGTTTATTTGGAGAATTGGCAAATTAGTGTTAGGCATATAATCCACATGCTGCACATACTGAATACAGAAACTCCTGATCTATTAACAAAGATAACCTCAACTTTGAATTACTCTGCTTCAGAGATGGCTGCCAACTCTTGGCGAAGCTATCACCCTGGTAGAGCTGCATCCGTTCCCTTGGGAACTGTGGAGCTAATAGGCTTAGGAGGCGTTGCCAAGTTGTCTCCTTCACCTCCCGGCATTTGGAAAGCAATTTTCAGGGAAGGATAGTCTTCTGGGTTCCATTGAATGCACCAAAGTCCCACAATTGCTAGTTTCTTTGCAATTTTAGCATCTTCTTCTACCTCATTCTGGGAAGTATATTTCTTCGCCATTTTCTGACTTGTCATCAGCGTTCTTCCTTCCTCCAACCATTTCTAGCTCTAACATTCCAAAACTATACACATCTGAATTGGAGGACACAGTCCCAAAATTTCTTGAGAACATTTCAGGTGCAATGTAGCCAATCACCCCACTCGCTGTTGTCATGGAAATAGCACTTTTGTCCTTGGAACACAACTGGCCAGACCAAAATCTGCAATTTTTTGGGATTGAAGTCCTCCCGCAGGATAGTATGTGGTTTGATATCAAAGAGGAGGATTCTTTGGTCGCACCCTTGGTGAAGATAATCAACACCTTTGGCTATGCCAAGAGCAATATGATGCTGCCTTTCCCAGCAAAGGAAATGGTTCCTTGAATCTGCTGAAGATCAGAACTTCTGCAGTGAATCATTTGGTAAGTACTCATAATCATAAACTAGCGTTCGTTTAAATCCATCAGTACAGAAGCCAATCAAGTTCCTACTTCGTTGACGAGTTCCACAGCTACTGGAATTTCACTGGTTAGCTTTCCTTTGAGTTCTGTTCCATAAGCTCCTTGTCCTTGGCCCAATTCATCCTTGAATTGATTTGTGATTTTTTTTTTTTTAAGACTAGCACAGGTGTATCCTGTCTGCTTCCCGGCTCTGTAATCATTCAAAAATATTTCAACCTTGTCTTGATATTCTCTTTCTATTTTATTGAAACTATAGACGCGGTAGAGTGCATTGACCAGTAGTGGAACAAGGAAGAATCCTAAGATTGCACCTGGATGTAACATTTTGAGTCAACAAACTGAACTTCTTTTGGAAGGAAGGTATTGAACTGTGTAAAATTGAGATTGAGTGGACACCATCTAACCTGCTGTCAGTCGCTTTTTCCATTCACCTGTAAAAGATAAAGGATACTTGTTAGGTTATCTCATCCTAAGAAAATTTCTAAAACCATGACTGATAGCCGGACTCTAAAGAAGTGCAGATGGAAGAATTCCACTTTACAAGAACGATGCCAAAATGTGCTTGGAACCACCTGTTTTGGCCACCTTAGCTAGTAACTAGGAAATTGTGTTCCGTACTTCGGCGTCATAAACTGAGAGTCCATATCTAATCCAAGAATGAACTTGGTTGCAAAATCTGCTTTGAAAATCATGTTAAACCTTTGTATTCTAATGCCATGGGTTTTACGTTCTTAAAATCTAGAAGGGATGATGTTTGGTATTTTATCAGAGCAGGGTCAGTCCCTAAATATTTTATCTGCCTCATGGCCCTCTTTCATAAACTCTATTGTTATGATTGCTCTCAGTTGACTACGACTAGAAGAATCGTTTATGCGTAAACACTCTGAGCTCTATCTAATATGCCAATCTGAAGAGTTTTTGCTGCTCCTAGTTTTCAAGGTTAGAAGTGGTAATATGGAGTTAAAACTTGGCGTGACAGCCAGTGTGTGAAGGCGCATTGGGGATGACTTATCATCAGAAAAGTTTATCCTCCTACCAATATTCTATTCGGAGATTGATAGTTCAATATTTGCATCTGATATTAACAATGCATAGTCTGAAGCAGAGGAAAAGCTAATTTTTCTGAGCAACATTGCCAATATGTAAGAAACAGTAAGATTACTCTTAACCAATATTCCATTCTGCAATTTGCCTGCTATAACTGCATAATCTGTCCTGGGTAATTTATAAAGCAAAGTTCGGACAATACATTTTGAAAGCAGAAACTAGATAGTAATTAAGGTGTTATCACTGCATTCAGAGTCACATTCACGCTAATCTACTGATGAAGGTGAATTGACAGGAAAAAAACTACAAGTTCTATACCACGCCTTATAGACAATCCTGAAGCTAATTCACCGGCCACAACACTTCATTGTATTATTACTGCCTAATTCGTTGTTGCTGAAAACGAAAATTTCGGATCACTCTATTTCTGTGATGGCTTCCAACTCTTGGTGAAGACGTCTTGTTTGCATACCTGCATTTGTTGTCTTAGGAACTGTGGAGCTAAAAGGATCAGGAGGCTTTGTTAAGTTGTCTCCCTCCCCTTCAAGCATTTGGACGACAGTTTTCATGGAAGGACGCTCTGCTGGGTTCCACTGAATGCACCACAGTCCCACAATTGCTAGCTTCTTTGCAATTTTAGCATTTTCTGCTCCATCAATATGAAATCGCAAGTCTTCTCCTTCTTCTAAGAGATTATAAATCCATTCTGGGAAGTATATCTGGTCGCCATTTTCTGCTGTATCATCAACGTTCTTCCTTCCTCCCACCATTTCTAACACTAACATACCAAAGCTATAAACATCTGATTTATAGGACACATTTCCAAAGTTCCTTGAGAACACTTCCGGGGCAATGTAGCCAATAGTACCCCTAGCGGTCGTCATGGAAGTAGCACTTTTATCCTTGGAACACAGCTTAGCCATACCAAAATCGGCGATTTTGGGATTGAAGTCATTGTCAAGCAGGATATTACGTGGTTTGATATCAAAATGGAGGATTCTTTGATCACAACCCTGGTGAAGATATTCAATCCCTTTGGCTATACCCACAGCAATACGATTCAACCTTTCCCAACCAAGGAAATGGTTCCTTGAATCTGCTGAAGAAATGAACTTCTGTAGTGAATCATTCGGCAAATACTCGTAAACTAGAGCTCGTCTAAATCCATCAGCACAGAAGCCAATCAAGCGAACCACATTGACATGGTGAATTCTAGCCATTGTTCCTACTTCGTTGACAAATTCCTCCCCATTTCCCGTGGAGTTGTTTAAGAGCTTCACAGCTACAGGTATTTCACTGGTTAGCTTTCCTTTGAACACTGTTCCATATGCTCCTTGGCCCAATTCACCTTCGAATTGATTTGTTATCTTTTTGAGATCAGCATAGGTGTATCTTGTGGGCTTTCCAGCTCTGTAATCATCCAAAAAATTTTCAACCTTGTCTTGATATTCTCTATCTCTTTTATCTGATCTATAGACTCGGTAGAGTGCAGTGACCCCTATTAAAACAAGGAAGAATCCTAAGATTAAACCTGCAATTGAACATTTTGCGTCAAGCAACTGAACTTCTTTTTGACGTAAGGTATTGAACTGTGAAAATTGAGATTGAGTGGACAACATCTAACCTGCAGTCAGTGCCTTTTTCCCTGCACCTGTAAAAGATAAATATACTTGTTAGGTCCTCTGATCTTCAGAAAATTTGTAAAATCATGAATCATAGGCTGACTCTGCAGATAGAGGAAATTCCCACGACCAGAATGGGACAAGGATTAGTAGACCAAATGAGCAGGGAACCACCTATTTTGGTCACCCTGGCAAGTAACTAGGACATCGTGTTCTGTCTCATAAACAGAGTCTATATCCAATCCAAGAACTTGGTTGCAAGACTCTGCCTTAAAAATAATGCTAAACCTTTGTATTCTAATGTTGTAGCACTGTAGTTTACATTCTTAGCATCGGAGAACATAATTTAAATTAGACTTGTATTCAAAGATCAATTGTAACATATAATTTAAATTATGTCTACTTTGTAAAGCCCAATGGGTAAGAATCAGAGAACATAAATCGCAAGATGCATAAAAAAAAATTTGGTTAACAGCAGGTGGTGGAATGCCATTGTGGTTACCTTTAGCTTGTCCGTGCAAGCCATAACATTCAGTTTTGAGATCACTGTTATTGTCATTCAATCTACACAGTCCGCCTCTTGCTTCACAAGATCCACAGTTTGGTTTGGACCAAGACAAATTAAGAGGAAAATTATCTTCGTAGAATACCTGATCTGGAACTGAAAAAACGTCGTACATCTTGGTACAATGCAACAAATCAATATACATGACGATATATTGTGCTTGAAGGGCATAAACTTTGTAGTGAAGAGTACTTAGACAAGGGACCAGATGACAGTGTTCAGGATTTTCCCGATTCGAAGAACAATTGAATAAGGTGTAGTCATAGTTGTAATCCTCCGTCATTATTCGAAAGTGAGATGCCAATGGACGGAAGTTTATGCGTTGCCTTAGAAGGCAACCTTGTGGATCAAGTTTATGCGTTGCCTAGGTGCAAGTTTATAATCCCGATAAAGAGACGTGCTCTTGTATTTGTATACGATAGTTAAGAAATTGAAGACAATGCCACGAACGATGAAAGTAAGATGGTTAAGAAGATTATTACTGATTCCAGCTGTATCTAAATGAAATTGAAATGCCCGATTAGCCCAGCAAATTCATTACTGATTCGAGCTGTATCTAAGCGACATTGTTCCAAGCCAGGGAACTACAAATGCGAGAGCCCAGTTGGCTCTTACTATTCTAGACTCGTTACCCGAGAACCATAGAAGTTTTAGGTAGATTTTCGACTGTTTACTACGATCCATTACGGATGGGCTCTTAAGCAATCATGCTGCCAATTTGAAGAGTTTTTTCTGCTCCTTTTTTTCAATAAATTTTTAAAGCGGAAACTAGCAAGTAATTAAGATGTTATCACCTTGTTTTAGAATCACATTCATGCTGATCTACTCTATGAAGATGAATTGAGAAGAAAAAACCAAGTGTTGAACCACACCTTACACATAATCCATGAAGCTAATCTGCTCTATGGGTGCAATGAGGTTGGTAACTGGTAATCCATTTTTGAATTAAGGAATTAATTGTGATTGTAATATGGTTCAGCCCATTACTGATTCTGGGCTAGAATATACTAGAATGTTCTCTGTTGAAGAAGGGTTAGTAGCAGCTCTAGCTAGCCCATTTTGCTTCTAAGAACCATAGCATTCAACTTCTTAGGCCTCTAAGAAGAAATTCTTAGCTGCACAAAGCTTCTGTGAGAGAGAGAGAGAGAGAGTTTGAACTTGTTCATATGTTGGTGGGTTGTCACTATGCTAGATCCTCTAATAGTCTGGCCCATCATTAACTACATGGGCCCATTTTCATGGTGGTTTTATAAAAATGATCTAATTTTGAGAAAAAAAAATTATTAGATATTTTGGATGTGTTGTTTATGAATTATTATCATAACACTTCTTTTACCAAGTTAACCTTTGAATTTTGGACGAAAGTCTCTAGTTTCTCTATGTGAAATTCGAAACGTATTTATTCAAGTAAGACCTTTTTAGATCTCCATCTCATTTTAGTTTAAATGATGAGAAAAAGAAGCGAGTTTGAGATGAATACTCACAAATATTAGCCGAAAGATTGAATTGGACTTAGAATTAGAGCCAAAAGATGAGTTCGTGTTGAATTAGGAGCGAGAGCCAATCTTCTTTTTCTAGTGGAGTTGTGTATGATAAGCTTACTAAATATTCAAATATTGATAATTTAAGTTTCTTAAAGCTATGTAAGTTGACAATGCTTAAAAAGGCTAGTGGTGTGTAAGGATTTTCATAGATGAAAAAAATTGAGTTGGTGGAGTCGTTGAGTGGTAGTTCAATGTGACGGTAATACACCTTTACATTGGTTTTGAGGTGCTTCTTCTTTCAATATAGTTTTGTTTCCTTATTCTTTTTTATGATTTTATGTAATGTAATGCGGGTTTGGAGGGCTTCTTAGTTATTTAGTTTTTTATTATTATTATTAATTTGTGTTAGTTTAAGAGTGCTCTCTCGGAATAGGTGTCATTCTTTTTATTGGATCATGTGACTTTCATGTTCAAAGTATCTAGTTTGAAATTGATTAACAAAAAATAAAAAACTTGATTATAACAAAAAAAGATTCGGGACCTAAATAAAAAAATAAAAAATTTAAAGACCTTTCTTTATTTGACTAAAAATTCATAATATTTTAGAACCAATTAGTCCTTTTTCAAATTAATAGACTTCCAAAATATTAAATAAATACAATTTTACATGGTATGGGCGAAAATGAGTTGTTGAAGAATTGGTAATTTAATAGAAAAGTTAGATGTTAGGACAAAAATTGTAAGTGAATAAGGATGATATTATAATTAGTATTTGTCTTCTCTTTTTTATGCAATTTATTTATTTTTTTTCAATTTTTAAACTTGATATAGTTTGTTATTTAGTTAGTTTTATTTTGAAAACTGAATGAATTCAAAGTCTGCATGTAGCTTACAAATTCCAATTCTTTCCTTTTTTTTTTTTTTTCGAAATTCGATACAATCGGTTCAAGTTGAAAAAAAAAAAAAATCATAGTCGTCTAATTAAAATTCATTTAAAATCTTGGAAAATAACTTTAAAAAACATATATACAACAAATCAAAGAGAACGAACCAAAGTAATAATGCCATCTAAAATGAGTTTGCCATAAATCTTCCTTTATAATTTCTCCTTCAATCCTCGGGTAATTCAACTAAGCCCTCGGGGATTTGATAATGATTACAACGGCTCGTGGATTAGATTTTTAAAATAAAGTTGTGTCCTTGTTATTTCTTTCCAAAGACCTCGATCTTCCGCCGACCTTTCATTTAGCTCCAAATATCAAATTTCTAGCGACAGAAAAAGTTAAGAAATTGAGTATATTAGTAAGATTAATACTTACATCCTCTCTCTCTCTCTCCCTATATATATATATATATATATATATATATATATATATATATATGATGCTTTTCATGGAAGAAAATTGATATGGAGGGAATTATAATAATCTGGAAAACAAGTTCTAATATACTCTAAAAATCTAGGTAATCCAATCCTCCTCTCTTACCTCGCCTTCTCTCTCGTCCCTCAACATTCAAGGACCTTGTTATAAACAAATGAAGTTTATGAACTCGTTTCGTATAACATTTAACTATAAGGACTAAAGTGTAATAAAAGTACTTAAAGTACTTAAATTGTAATAAAAGACCATTCATTACAATACCGTTAGCTCGTTTATCATACGTCACAAGTTAAAACTAATAACAACCAATCGGATAATGACATATGGTAATTTTTTTGATTCACATTTGCACGTTTCATTTCTTAATTGATACATGGGATGAATAGTTAACAACGTTTTAATGAAAAGTCTCAATTAATTAATTTATAAAAGTAGAAAGTTTCAATCAAGCCGAAAAATAATTGAGGGTCTCAATCAAAAAAATTGAAACTTTACATGGATTAATTATGAGATAAATCCATTTAAAAATGATCAAGTCGATATACTCGAAGTTTAAGCGTTGTCTTAGAAGGCAACCTCGTAGATCACTTGCATTCATAACTTGAGATTCATAATCAATAAAATGATTCCCCGATGTCGGCGGCTCAAGCACTCGTAGGATTGTTCTTTGTGCGGGATAAATCAAACCCCGGATAGCCACTGCGATCCGGTTTCTTGTCCTTGAAATGTAGATTATGGACCAATGTTCCCATCAATCACAATTTGCGTAACTTAATTGTTATGACGAGTTTTGACATTTCAAAGGATGGCCTTTGGTATTATCGGAGCGAGGTCGGTCTCTAATTATTTCATCCGCCCTATGGCCCTCATTCGTAAACTCTTTATTGTTATGACTCGCTCTCGGCATAAACTTCTATGGTTACGGGCTAATTGGCCGATAGGTGTTAGGCTTATAAAATGAAGTCGAATCATTAGAATCCATTTTAATTTTTTTGCTTTTGATCTGTCGATATGCCCCATTAGCCCGACAAATTCATTAGTGATTCCGGCTTTATCTAAACGAAAATTGTTCCAAGCCGGGGAACTACGAATGCCGAGCCCGGTTAGCTTCTTACTATTCTAGAGTTGGTATCCGACAACCCGACAACCATAGAAGTTTTAGGTAGATTTTCGATCGTGTACTACGATCCATTACCGATGGGCTCTTAAGTAATCCTGCTGCCAATCCGACTAGTTTTTTCTCGCTCCTATTTCTTTGCGGGTTGGAAGTGGTAGTATGAAGTTAAAATTTGGCATGGCGACCGGAGTGTGAAGGCGCATTGGGAATGACTTACCATCGGAAAAGTTTCTTGATAATTCAATATATGCATCCGAAATTGACACTCTGCATTAGTTTGAAGCATGGGAAAAGCTAAATTTTCGGGTCTTCATTCCGAGTGTACTTTCTTTTTTCGAGCAACATTGCCAATATGTAAGAAGCGATACGATTACTCGACCAATATTCTATTCTGCAGTTTGCTCGCATGGTGACATAGTCTTAACTGCATAATCTATCCGGGTTTATTTATAAAGGTTCGTGCCGTCCGGCCAATACATTTTCAAAGCGGAAACTAGAAAGTAATTAAGATTTTATCACCGCATTCGGAGTCACATTCACGCCGATCCACTCATGAAGGCTAATAGACGGGAAAAAAAAACTACAAGTGCTAAACCACACCTTATACATAATATGAAGCTAATTCACCGGTCACAACACTTCACTGTCTATTACTGCCTAATTTGTTGTTGCTGAAAATGTAAATTTCGGATCACTCTATTTACGTGATGGCTTCCAACTCTTGGTGAAGACGTCTTGTTCGCATACCTGCATTGGTTGTCTTACGAACTCGTGGAGCTAAAAGGATCGGGAGGCTTTGTTAAGTTGTCTCCCTCTCCTTCAAGCATTTGGACAACGAGTTTTCATGGCGGGACGCTCTGTCGGGTTCCACTGAATGCACCACGGTCCCACGATTGCTAGTTTCTTTGCAATTTTTGCATTTTCTTCTCCATCAATATGAAACCGTAAGTCTTCTCCTTCTTCTAAGAGATTATAAATCCATATTGGGAAGTATATCCGGTCACCATTTTCTGCTGTATCATCGACGTTCTTCTTTCCTCCGACCATTTCTAACACTAACATACCAAAGCTATAAACATCCGATTTATAGGACACATTCCCAAAGTTCCTTGAGAACACTTCCGCGCAATGTAGCCAATAGTCCCCCTAGCGGTCGTCATGGAAATAGCACTTTTATCCTTGGAACACAACTTAGCCATACCAAAATCGGCGATTTTGGGATTGAAGTCATTGTCAAGCGGGACATTATGTGGTTTGATATCAAAATGGAGGATTCTTTGATCACAACCCCGGTGAAGATATTCAATCCCTTTTGCTATGCCCAAAGCAATATGATTCAATCTTTCCCGACCAAGAAAATGGTTCCTTGAATCTGCTGAAGAAATGAACTTCGTAGTGAATCATTTGGCAAGTACTCGTAAACTAGAGCTCGTCTAAATCCATCGGCACGAAACCGATCAAGCGAACCACATTGACATGGTGAATCCTAGCCATCGTTCCCACTTCATTGACGAATTCCTCCCCATTTCCTGTGGAATTATTGAGGAGCTTGACAGCCTACACCAATTTCATTGGTTAGCTTTCCTTTAAACACGATCCCATAAGCTCCTTGGCCCAATTCATCCCGGAATTGATTTGTGATCCTCTTAAGATCGGCATAGGAGTATCTTGTGGGTGTCGGAGAATTGTAGTCATCCAAAAACATTTCAACCTTGTCTTGATATTCTCTTTCTAATTTATTATTGCTATATGCGCGGTAGAATGCAATGATCATTATGAGAAAGACGAAAAATCCTAAGATTACACTCGCATATAAACATTCTAAGTCGGGGAACTCTTCTTGTTTTTGGAAGTAATGTATTGAACCAAGTGTAAAATTGAGATCGAGCAAACTACTAACCGGTAATCGGGAGCTTTCTCATCGTACTCGTAAAAGATGGTAAATTAATTAGCTTCTCATTTTTTTTTTGGAAAAATCATGAAAGCATCAACGACGAAAAGAATTTCTACTGCTTGTGTGATTTATATTCTTAAAACCAACAACGGCTGAAGTTAATTAGATTTACAACCGCGAGTTGCCAATTGTAATGAGCAAAGTTGACATGATCTCCAAATAATCAAAATTTTGTCTACGATCATGAATAAGAATCCAAGAAAATCAATTAGCACGAAACATTAAAAAAAAAAAAAACGAGAGGGAGAGAGAGAGATAAAAGCGTACCTTTAGTTCGCTTGTGAGTGTTGTGGCGTTCGGTCTCGGAAGATCCACAATCGGGGTTGGACCAAGACGGATGTAGTAAATAATTTTCTTGGTGCAAAATGTCATGTGGAATTGAAATAGTGTTGTACATCTTGGTACGGGATAATAAATAAAGGTCACTAATTGTATCGGTTGATTCAACGGCATAAACTTCGTGGTGATAAGTACTCGGACATGGGATAGTATGTGGGTATATTTCCTCGCTAGAAGAACAATTGAATAAGGTTAAATCTTCCAGAAAATCATTCTTAATTTGGAATCGAGAAGCCGATAAGCTGAAGTTTAAACGTTGCCTTAGAAAGCAACCTTGAGGATCCCTTGCATAAATAACTTGATAGATATAGTCGATTCTTTCAATGTGGAGTTTCACTCCGGTTGGCGGCTCAAGCATCTGTATCGTTGCCCTCCGAGCGGGATAGACCAAACCCGGGATAGCCACGGTGCTCGCTTGCACTGTCCTTGATTCGGAAAGGAAATTGGATGTCGGGGCCATGGTTCCCACAAGATCCTATGCAATCCAAGCTTGCTCCATGGCCTGCGAGGAAGAGAATAAACAAGAAGCGGAACAAACATGGAATCATTTCTAATGAACGATTCATCATCTCCTCACTCTCTTTTATTGTGACGACTTTTTGTTCTTTGTGAATGTGAGTGAGAGACCGATATTGCCTTCGAAATACTCAATAACAATTTCTCTAGTTACATTGCATTCACAACTAATGTGAATAGGCCTATATATGGAAACCTTTTTAATTTGAGAATGCGGACCTAACGAAAAAAACGAGATTCTAACAAGTGGATTTTAAATACGGGTTGCACTCTTTATGCTTAGGCCGGGAAGGACTAGGAGTAGTGATGTCAAGAAATTACTAAGAAGCCTATAATTCTTCCTCATTGCATTGAGGGTGCATGAGGGGAAAAGTCCTCCTATGTGAAACTTCGAGGGATCGACCGGTGTTCCAATCAATGACTTATAATTGTCTATGTCGGAAGGACGGTAAATAGCGGTCTTTGGTGGGCTCTTTAACCTCTCGATTAGTAGGGGAGCTGGAAGGTGCCATCCCTGTCTTATGGCTCGAGATCAAATGAACCAAATAAAAGTCTATATTTTTGTCATGGACTGGAGGTTGCTCGAGATTGTATTTAACTCGCGAAACTTCAAGTGGGGACCAATGTTCCGAATCCATCACTTTATTTTGATGCCTTTTTCTTTGTTCATATGATATTGGGAATTGGGATTATTGCACACCGATCGCTATGCTTACCCTACGAGGGAAGGAAGCATATCTAGGAATATCCGGTGGAGTTGGATCTGGGAATATTGGGAGTTTTGGTCTTCGATGACATGCTCCAAGAAAAATGAGGTCTGTGGGATGTCGATGCTTGTGGTGTTGATAGTTGATGACTTTTTTCTTCTCAATTCAAAGTTGATGGTTCTTTGTCATGAACGGGAAGAAGGTCGGTGGGAAATTAACTTCGACAATGAAGTAGCATGACACTCATTGTACTGCTTTATTACTACTCGTATTTTGACTTTGACATTTCAAAGGACGAGCGAAGTAACGATTTTTCGTTCTTCACCTTCCATAGCACTATCACTCGCTTCCATTGCGAAATTCATAAGTTCTTCTCGGAAAAATAAATAAATAAATAAAAACGATCATTTTCCGAAAAACAAATTTCCTTCTCCTAAAAGTTTTGTCTTATGGTTTTGGTACTTGTGGTGGAAAGAACTAACACACATATGAAGCAAAAGCTTTTTTAATATTCCATGGTGATTGCTCCCTCTCACTGGAAATTATTGATTTGAATGTTGCCTTGCTCTCTGGAATTGAAGAATTGTTTGTGCAAAAGCTTGTGTGGAGACACTCGTGTATCCCCTCGGCCTTCCCCATGTTTAGAGGAAGAAACCTCCTCTTTGCTTGCTACATAGCCTCTCTTTTCCATCTATCTGTCTTCCAAACTTGCCATTCTAGTAACAACACGACTCTTTGTTCACCTTCTTCATGTGGCAATATCCAAAACATTAGCTACCCTTTTCGACTAGGCACTCGATCCACAAAGCTGCGGAAACTATAATTATACCCTAATCTGCGAGAAAAATACTTCTACGGTATTATATTTGTATTCGAGTAAATACTACGTGCGGGCAATCGACTATGTTAACTTCGGAATCCGAGTGGTAGATGCTTGGTGTACAAAATAATTGCTCCTCCTTCCCTCGTTCTTCTTTGGCACCCCATAACTTCAGCTACGGAGATCCATACGCATGGTATAACTACGAGTGGACGGTGTCACAAAGACTAATTCGGCATTTCTTCAACGGTTGGAACGAATGGTCACCTCCTACACTATCACAGATTATGATTTTCTTGAGCTCGTGAAAATCCGATGAATTCTTCTCTTTATGTGGACACGACTCCTTGCGGCCTTAACTATGGATCACTAAATCATTCCAACTCTTCTCTAGGATCGAGTAATTATAATTATGTGACTCTTGGGGGCATGAATGCCTCGGATTTGATGGAGCTGTGCAGCATAGAGAAGATACTTCGCTCCCAAAGATTGATTACGGGAACATCTCTTTTAAAGAAATTCACGAGAAGCGGCGTACGGGTTTGAGCTTTCATGGTTCAACGACCAATGTGAAAATTGCACGGAAGGTTGCTACCTCGACAGCGCAAACCGTCTTCAATGCATTGGTAAGTAATAAGTTGCATTAGTATTTTCTTCTATTTATGTCTATATTCATTCCGTCGACTCTAAACTTTGAATTCATTCTTAAGACTATTCATAAGATCTCTTAGCATGGAACATTTAAGGGTTACTTGGACGAGAAGATTGTCTTTTGCAATTTGAGGTTTTACATAGTGAAACTTTTGCTTCATCTTAATTTGATCATGGATATACATATATGAATGAGTCCAAATCATATAAATTACGTGTTGTTATCTATTTTCTTTCATTTTTTAATACTGTGTATTCGTTCCTTTCTTCTCAATTAAGGCACTTGTTTCATACCATTATAACTCCTTTTTAACCTATCTTTTGGGACGATTTCAAGGATGAACACAACTTTTGGGAACTTCTAATCCTTTGGGTGATAAGTGAGAATTCTCTATCCGCATCTCACCGTGTTTGTGTATTTCTTCAAACAACATATTTGTGAAATCCTTCTTCGAAGGATTGCACAACTAGTTGTTTCTTGCATAGTAATTCTAATTTTGTTCACCATTTCTGCGGCGTTGCTCTTCATATTGCCCTTTTTGCGGGTAAGAACTTCTTTATTTCTTTAGTTTTGAAACATAGTTCAATACCGGAGACACGATCAAAGACGACACAACTTGATTGTTTTACGGAAATTTTGCTATACGACATTACTTCATGGGCTAAAAGTTGTTTGTGGGACTCCATGTGTGATTGTATTTTTGATCTACAAATGGCGAAGGAGACATTTATCGGTATACGATACGGTTGAAGAATTCTTACGAGTCACGATAACCTAATGCCAATAAGGTATTCTTACTCGGATATCGGGAAGATAACTAGAGGTTTCAAGGACAAATTGGGTGAAGGAGGCTTTGGTTGTGTGTACAAAGGAAATCTTCGTAGTGGTCGTTTCGCGACGGTAAAAATTTTGGGCAAATCTAAAACTAATGGACAAGATTTCATAAACGAAGTTGCTACGATTGGAAGGATTCACCACACTAATGTGGTGCAACTAATTGGTTTTTGTCTTTGAAGGATCAAAGCGTGCTCTTGTATATGATTTCATGCCAAATGGATCTCTTGATAGTCACTTATTTTCTCGAGAAGGATCTCGTCTCTTTAAGTCGGGAAAAATTGCATGACATTTCCATTGGAGTGGGTCGTGGCATCGAATATCTTCATCGAGGTTCGTGAGATGCAAATCCTACATTTTGATATCAAGCCTCACAACATTCTTACGGATGAAAATTTCACACCAAAAGTTTCGACTTCGGGCTTGCTAGGTTGTACCCAACGAATGGCGGCATCACATCTCTTACGACGACGAGGGGCACGATAGGATATATGGCTCCTGAGCTGTTCTACAAAAACATTGGACGTGTCTCATATAAAGCCGATGTTTACGGCTTCGGAATGTTGCTATTGGAAATGGCGAGGCAAAAGGAAGAATCTAAACGCATTAGCGGAAAAGTCAAGTCAAATCTATCGGCCATATTGGGTTTATGACCAAGTATCAAATGAAAAGGCCATAGAAATTGGAGAAAATGCCACGGAGGATGAAAGTAAGATGGTTAAGAAGATGATTATAGTAGGGTTGTGGTGTATACAAATGAAACCTATCAATCGTCCTGCAATGAACAAGGTCGTGGAGATGCTTGAAGGGGATGCGGAAAACCCGCAATTGCCTCCTAAGCCTATTCTAAATCTAGATGAGACGCCGATTACTGATTGAAGGAGATTCATCGTCCATGTATGATGATTCTACCGAATCTATGAGTTTGGTTGAAAATGCAAGCTAAGTGATAAGATATAAGGAATACTACGCTCGTATGCGAGGGAAAAATGATAGAACGAGTGTGCTTTCCGTTTTAGTTATTTGTTGAAAAACATTACAATAATTGATAATAATTCATGTTATCTTATTTGTTTTTAACTAATTTAGACTTCAAGCTGTGGCTTGTTCGTTCGTCTTAGTCCATGTAATCAAATACTGCTATGTTCCCTATTGTGTCCGGACGCGGTTTGCATATAACATAGAATACGTTTTTGAATTCCATAGCTGCGAGAGCTAGCGAGGCGTTAGTCCAGTGAAAAATGAAGGTTAAACTACACATTTCTTTCGTGGATGTTAGTCAATTCGAGGCATGAGACCACGAGTCAAAATGCCATTCCATGGTAGCTTAATGCTTACAAGAATTGCATAATGTGATACCTAGAGTTTATAGATCTTCGGAAGATACGGACATAGAGGAATTAAAGAATTTGTAATCCGATTTGTACGAAATACAACTTCGGATTGTTAGGTTGAGGTCAAGCCTCGGGCATTTCAATCCCGGATCGGTGTGAAAAAAATACTATTGTTCCCTCCGTGCTTCAAAGTATTACACATAATCAAATTAATCTTACAAGAGATTATGATTTCATTGACCATATTTAGGAAAGCATTCATGCTAATCCACAACAACTGACTCATAAATCATGGCCCTAAACCGTCCTGTTGCTAACTCATCCGCTATTACGGATAACCTCAACTTATGATTACTCTGTTTCTTACATGACTCGTCATAGGTCAAACGGATCATAAAAAAAACATTTTTTTTTTTAAAAAGGAAAAAGAATTATTAATATTTTTTTTAAAAAAATCTTACTTACCGTTATACATCGAAAAAAGAAGGGACTAAAATCAAGATTCTTCCACCTAAATTCATCCCAACGACAAGACTATACACAAAAGTCTCCACGAGAAAAACCTTCGTCTTATAAGGAATGTTAGGGCCACAAAGGTTTTTCCGGCTTTAATAAATCTTAATATAATAGTAACATGTAGTTGATTCTTAAAGGAAAAAAAAGTACATATATAGTTGTTGACAAATTTTGTTATTTCTTTTTTCTAAAAAAATAAAAATAAAAATAAAAATAGGGAAATTTTATCCCACATCACAATGGCCGGTTCGGCACTACACTGACAAAGGCTTTTTGGGCCAAGACATTCGTAGCAAAATAGAAACCCAAGGAAAAAGCCTACAAGTGAAGCATTAAGGGTCCAGATACCAAATCACACACATAAGCCAAGCCCATTGTTTGAAGAGGTCTTTACGTTGCTGTCTGTCCGTCTGTTGGGTTCTTGTAAGAATTCATAATTTTGTACAAGGAAAGATCGGCATATGTTGGTTAAGCTGCAAAGGATGGAGCAGAAGAAAGGGTTAAACCCTATGACGGTCTGAATTAAAGATGTTATATTGCTGTCTTAAAATATTTCAATTTCTACTTTTGAAGGAGATCTCAAGTCACTTCAGTTTGTAATGAAGGAAGATGTGGGAACCTTGTAAAAGATCTTTTGATGTTAGTCGGACCCAACTCCATCAGTATATTTTTAGGTCCAGATATCAAATCAAAACCATGCAGAGAAAACTTCAGGAGCTTTTGCATGAATCAATAATTTTGCCTCACGAATGATCATGCAAACTAATGTTTTTTATGAGACAATTTTTGTGAGTATTACCACTGACGAACTGTTGAGATATTAGCAATATGATAATGCACATTTTTTTGTTGAATTCTAGCCATTGTTCCCACTTCATCGACGAACATTTTTAAAGCAGAAGTTGCAAGTAATCAAGATGTTATCATCTCATTTTGAATAACGTTCAAGCTAATCTACAAGCAGTACTAAGCCACACCTGACACATAAATAATGAAGCTAACGAACACGTCACAACACTTTATTGCATTATTGTTGCCTAATATATTTATTACTGAAAAAGTAAATTTCTGGTCATTCTATTTCTGAGATGGCTGCCAACTCTTGGCGAAGACGTCTCACTGGCATTCCTGCATTTGTTGTCTTACGAACTGTGGAGCTAAAAGGATCAGGAGGCTTTGTTAAGTTGTCTCCCTCTCCTTCAAGCATTTGGACAACAGTTTTCATGGCAGGACGCTCTGCTGGGTTCCACTGAATGCACCACAGTCCCACAATTGCTAGTTTCTTTGCAATTTTTGCATTTTCTCCTCCATCAATATGAAACCGCAAGTCTTCTCCTTCTTCTAAGAGATTATAAATCCATTCTGGGAAGTATATCTGGTCATCATTTCCTGCTGTGTCATCGACGTTCTTCCTTCCTCCGACCATTTCTAACACTAACATACCAAAGCTATAAACATCTGATTTATAGGACACATTCCCAAAGTTCCTTGAGAACACTTCCGGGGCAATGTAGCCAATAGTCCCCCTAGCGGTCGTCATGGAAATAGCACTTTTATCCTTGGAACACAACTTAGCCATACCAAAATCGGCGATTTTGGGATTGAAGTCATTGTCAAGCAGGACATTATGTGGTTTGATATCAAAATGGAGGATTCTTTGATCACAACCCTGGTGAAGATATTCAATCCCTTTTGCTATGCCCAAAGCAATATGATTCAACCTTTCCCATCCAAGGAAATGGTTCCTTGAATATTCTGCTGAAAAAATGAACTTCTGTAGTGAACCATTCAGCAAGTACTCGTAAACTAGAGCTCGTCTAAATCCATCAGCACAGAAACCGATCAAGCGAACCACATTGACGTGGTGAATCCTAGCCATCGTTCCCACTTCATTGATGAATTCCTCCCCATTTCCTGTGGAATTGTTGAGGAGCTTGACAGCTACACCAATTTCATTGGTTAGCTTTCCTTTAAACACAGTCCCATAAGCTCCTTGGCCCAATTCATCCTGGAATTGATTTGTAATCCTCTTGAGATCAGCGTAGGAGTATCTTGTAGGTTTCAGAGATCTGTAATCATCCAAAAACATTTCAACCTTGTCTTGAAATTCTCTTTCTAATTTATCATTGCTACATGAGCGGTAGAGTGCAATGATCCCTATTGCAAAGGCGAAAAATCCTAAGATTACACCTGCATATAAACATTCTAAGTCAGGGAACTCATCTTGTTTTTGGAAGTAATGTATTGAACCAAGTGTAAAATTGAGATCAAGCAAACTACTAACCAGTAATCAATAGCTTTCTTCCCACACCTGTAAAAGATGTTATATTTATTAGTTTCTCATCCTCTGGAAATTGGTAAAATCATGAAAGCAACAAGGAAAAGAATTTCTACTGCTGTGTGATTTATACTGTAATACAAGTACGTAGACACGAATTCCGAATATTCAAAATTTTAATGTCACAACAATGAATAAGAATCCAAGAAAATCAAATTGCAGGAAGCATGAAACATAAGGAAAAAAAAAAAAAAAGAAGAAGAAGAGGTAAAAACATACCTTTAGTTTGCTCGTGAATGTTGTAGCATTCAGTTTCCGAAGATCCACAACTTGGATTGGACCAAGACAAAGGTAGTAAATAGTTTTCTTGTTCAAACATACCATATGGAATTGAAAAAACGTTGTACATCTTTGTACAAGATAATAAATAAGGGTGACTTACAGAATGACTTGATTCAGCAGCATAAACTTCGTGGTGAAAAGTACTCAGACATGGGATTTTAACTATGTTCGGAGATCTTTCCCCATTAGAAGAACAATTGAATAAGGTCTGATTACACATCCAATCATCCTTAATTTGGAAGTGAGACGCAGATAAACTGAAGTTCAAACGCCTTAGAAAGAAACATTGAGAATCCCTTGCATGAATAACTTGATGTCTATAATCGATTCTTTCAATGCGGAGTTTCACTCCAGTTGGCAGCTCAAGCATCGTATCCTTTCCCTCTGAGCAGGATAGATCAAAACCAGGATAGCCACAGTGGTCTGCTTGCTTGTCCTTGATTCGGAAAGGAAATCGGATTTTAGGGCCATGCTTCCCACAAGATCTTATGCAATCCAAGCTTGCTCCATGGCCAGCAAGGAAGAGAATGAACAAGAAGTAGAACAAACATGTAACCATTTCTGATGAATAATTCATCATCTCCTCACTCCTCTTAACATTTTATCTATATGTTCTGATATAGTTTTGGCCTTTCAGAAAATTCATTCAGGGTCATGCTTCCTTACATGAGAAATTATTGATACTTCTAGTGTGTTGCTCCCTTTCATGGGGGATCCATTTATCGTGACGACGTTTTGTTCTACGTGAAAGCGAGCGAGGGAGCAATATTGCACTGAAATGCTCAATAATAATCTCTCTACTTACGTAGCGTTGATCACAACTAATGTGAATAGGCCTATATATGGAAACGTTTTTAATTTGGGAGTGTAACTAGATTCTAACAAGTGGGTTTTAAATACATGTTGCAATCTTTATGCTTAGGCCAAGAAGGGACTAGCTAGGAGTAGTGATATTAAGAAATAACTAAGAAGCCTACAATTCTTAATCATTGACTTGGAGTAGCGTGCATGATAGGAAAAGTCCTGCTATGTGAAAAGCAAGAAGCTCAGAAGAAATTCAGAGATGGACCAATCCATTCACTAGCATTGAGGGCATTAGGCGATCACGAAGGAAAATTCTTGTGTCTTCTCATTTTCAACTTTTATTGAGGATTTTAATAATTGAGGTTCTATATATTAGTAAAGCATATGTTCTTCCCATCATCTTTCTCATGAGATAAATTAGACCATAGAAATTTATTAAGTAAAAGAAGTGCTTTGGGTAGTTTTAGCATTGGCTGGTTATCAGGGATCAAAAAGGAAAATGCTTGTGTCCTCTTATATCTAATTGTTATCGGGAATTTCAATGAAATTGAGGTTCTAGCTATTAGTGAAGTCTTGAAGATAAATTCTTCCCATCATCTTTTCGCATAAGATGAACTGCATCATAGATATTGATTTATTAGACGAAGCGTGTGCTTTTGGTTATTCAAAATACTAATGAAAGACCATGGAGAATGCATAATATTTTTATGAATATCGATATCAATTAGCTTTATCATAATTAATATAGATGATAATAAGATTGCAGATAGTTTGGCTAAATAAAAAGTGAGCAGACATAAATGCTATTTTGCTTGGCTAAAGTATTTTCATTTCTACCTCGTAATCTTTTTTTTCTCCCATGGACTAGATGACTCTCTTAATCTAATTTATTTTCATAAAAAAAAAAAAAAGTCTTGCTATGTGAAACTTCCAGTGAATGATCAATGTTCCAATCAATGACGACTTGTAATTGTCAATGTCAGAAGGACTGTAAATAGCGGTCTTTGATGGGTTCTTTCAACTCTCAATTAGTAGGGGAGTAGGTATGTGCCATCCCTGTCGTATGGCTCAAGATCTAATGAACCAAACAAAAGTCTATATTTTTGTCATGGACTGGAGGTTGCATGAGATTGTATCTTACGTCTGCGAAACTTCAAGTGAGGACCAATATTCCAAATCAATCACTTTATTTTGGGGCCTTTTTCTTTGTTCATAAGCTTTTGGGAATTGGGATTATTGCTGATCACCATGTTTACGTACCCTACAAGGGAAGGAAGCATATCTAGGAATATCTGGTGGACTTGGACTGGGATTGGGAGTTTTGGTCTTCGATGACATGTTCCAAGAAAATACTAATAATAAAAAAAATCAGCAAATATATTCGAAGAAATGGAGCAAAATTCTAACGTTTTAGTCAATTGTGACCGGATAACACACCATCGTACTATGATTAAAAATCCTATTACTTAAGTACTAGTTTGATTATTTTATAAGAGTTGAGGTACTCAAATAAAAGTTTAATAAAAATATAGGCGCTAAATTTTCCGTTATCTCCATACAAATATACAACAAAGATATAATTTAAAATTTGACCGCACCCACCGATAATCCTACGTTAGTTTCATAACCAAATGACTCATTTTTCTTTTTCTTTTTTTAATCTATTCTGGTTAAATAGTATTTCTCATTTTCGAAAGCTGATAATTTCATTAATGTACTTTATTTTCAAAGGTTCTTTGTCATGGAAAACAAGAAGGTGAGAAATTGGGTTCGACGACGAAGGAGTGACCAATCATTTATTTTCTGCCTTATAACTACTCCTATGGCTTTGAAATTTCAAAGGACAGCCTGGTAGAAAATTTACTCCTCACGGTTCCACTAAGAAATTGATAAGTTCGTCAAGGAAAAAAAAAAAACTTATGCCTCTTAAACTTTTGTTTAATGGTTTGGATTTGGGGTGCTGTGATGGGAACTAACACAAGCTCCACCCACTCAACACACTGCAGAGGCAAAAGCTTTTCTAGTATTTGCTGTTGGACTGCTTTCGGGCTTGAAGAAAAGTTTGTGCGAAAACTGTGTATGTGTGTGTCTTCAGCCTTCCCCATGTTTAGAGGAAGAACCCTCCTCTTTGCTTGCTACGTAGCCTTTCTTTTCCAGCTATCAGTCTTCCAAACTTGCCATTCTAGTAACATCACTACTCTTTGTGCACCTTCTTCATGTGGCAATATCCAAAACATTAGCTACCCTTTTCGATTAGCCTGCGATCCACTAAAGCTGCGGAAAATATAATTATACCCTAATCTGCGAGAAAAATACTTCCACGAGTACTATATTTGTATTCGAGCAAATACTACGTGCGAGCAATCGACTACGTCAACTTCGGAATCCGAGTGGTAGATGCTTGGTGTACAAGATAATTGCTCCTCCTTCCCTCGTTATTCTTTGACACTCGATAACTTCGGTTATGGAGATCCATACGCATGGTATAACTACAAGTGGACGGTGTCACCGGAACTAATTCGTGCGTTCTTGCACAACGTGACGGAAGGGTATTGGTCACCTCTACCTATCACGGCTCATGATTTTCACGAGCTGTAAAAATCCGATGAATTCTTCTCTTTATGTGCACACGACTCCTTGCGGCCTTAACTATGGATCATCAAACTATTCCAACTCTTCTCTTGTGACTAATTATAATTATGTGACTCTTGGGGACATGAATGCCTCGGATTTGAGGGAACTGTGCAGCATAGAGAAGATAGTTTTGGTTCCAAAAATTGATCACGGGAACATATCTTTTAACGAAATTCGCGAGAAGCGGCGTACGGGTTTGAGCTTTCATGGTACAACGATCGGCTGTGAAAATTGCGCAAGAGGTTGCTACCTCGACGAGCGCAAACCGTCTTCGATGCATGGACGTTTGTAAGTAATAATTAATGATTTAAGTTGTATTAGTATTTTTTTTTTATGTCTATATTCGGTCGGTCGATTCTAAACTTTGAAGAATTCATGGTTACGGACTTGAATCTCTTAGCATGGAACATTTAAGTTTATCTATTTTCTTCCATTTTCTTGCTTTGTGTATTCGTTTCCTTCTTCTCGATTAATGTCCTTTTATACCATTCTAACTCTTTTTTAACCTAACTTTTGGGACAGATTACGGAATTCGGAAAGTTCGACCGCACTGGGAGTTGGGTGCGCATTCTCTATCTGCATCTCACCATGTTTGTGTACTTTCTTCTATTTATGTCTATATCCATTTAGTGGATTCTAAACTTTGAATTTATTCATAAGACTACATAAGATCTCATACATTGGAATTCATGATTCCATTAGAATTCATGATTACGGACTTGAATCTCTCAATATGGAACATTTAAGGTTACTTAGACCGAATCCTTGTCTTTTGCAATGTTGAGTTTTACATAGTGAAACTTTTGCTTCAACTTAATTTGACATGTATATACATTAGAATGAATGAATCCAAATCACATAAATTACGTGTTGTTATCTACTTTCTTTCATTTTTCAACTTGTGCATTCGTTCCCTTCCTCTCAATTAGTGTCCTTGTTTTATACCATTATAACTCCTTTTTAACTTAACTTTTGGGACAGATTTCGAAGGCTTTTGGTTATTTCTACTCCACGGGGGAAGGTGGATAGGTGCGAAATTTCTATCTCACCATGTTTGTGCATGTTCTTCTATTTATGTCTATATTCTTTCGGGTATACACTCGATCATTCTTTTGTAAGCCATCACATTAAGGGTATACACTAGATCATTTTCTTCACGTATTAAGAGTATTCATCATATCATTTCCTTAGTATGTCCTCTTGTGAACCATACAAAGAGTATCCATTAGATTATTCCTTTTGTATATTTTGCAAAGAATATACACCGAGATCATTCCATTTACAAACCTGTCTTAAAATATGAACATGACTTTTCTTTGAATTCTTAAAGTCATGCTTAAATATTTTCATGACATGAATGCAATTGGAATGCTTATCAAGAATGTACATGAACATAAACCATATGGCATTAAGCCATGACTAGGTTGAAACATCAAGCCTTAAAATAACATGATCCCAATCAATCACCAAATTAATCTGAATTTTATCAAGCCATAACAACATTAAGCATTTCTATGGCCATAGGCCGAATGCATCACAAGACGTAAACATATAATCTTTCATTAAACCTACCTAACCAAAGATATTACATTTATCAAAACCATATATTTGTCAATGGATATTGCATATCATGGCTTCACAATTTTTGTTAACAAAATCACTTGTCATGGCTTCATAATTTTCATCAACGAAAATCACATTTCATGGCTTGGCATTTTCATAAATGAATCTCATACCATAGCTTGGTACTTTTTGTCAACAAAAATCTCATGTCATGAATTGACACTTTCGTCAATAAAAACATACAACAACAACTAATTGAGCACGATAAGTGTGATACCCACAAAAAGTATACATCAAATCATTCCTTTTTGTAAATCATGATTGAATATGTGACTATGACGCCCATAAAGAGTTGATTATTCTCTGTGTGTCATGATTAAGCTGTGACTATGATTGACACATGTCTAGCCTTTTTTAAAAAAATCCATGCACTTGATTTTATCTTAATGAACATGATGGAAAGCTGTTTCATGACGTGAATGTGAACAATGACATGAAATGTAATCCATGAATATTAATTAACCAACAAACCAAGTCAAATACCATTGAACACAAAATATTCTTTAATAAAACATTAACAATACATGAAAACACCATTAAACCAATCTATGAACATCAAGATCATTGAAATGGCCACTAGAACGAATTCTACCACGACCATTCCATGACCAATTTCAACATAAAACAAATTAATTATCACATGAATCCTTTATCAAAAAGTCATGTCTCCAATGACTTGCACAATTAATATATAACATAACAAAATACATTAACCATACAAAAGACTACTCCTGGCCGAAACTCCCAAAACAAACTAAGTGCATCACACTTGTCTTAGTCATAATCAAGCATACAACCAATCGATTTTCATCTAAACACACACCATCATTCAACTTAAATATGCTAACATTAACATGATTATCATTAAACACATAAAAATTATACCAATCCATCAAAATTTTAGATTTTTTATATCAATATACCAAAATCCAGATTTGATCAACACATATTAACAATCAATAACTTCATGGTTTTAGCAACTTTAAGGTTTCTAAATCTTGTTTTAACCAAAAGATTTCATCATTTAACTTAAATAAACTAAAGCTAACTTGATTATCATTAAATACATGTAAATCTTACCAATTTACTTACAATTTCAGATTTGATATTTCTTTCCTCAAAATCTAGATTTGTCTCAAAGACAACAACCACCAATACTTCATCAATTCAATAATTTAAATCTAAATTTTGTTGAAGCCTAATTTCATCCTTAATCAATTGATTCAACACATGATCCATCATAATCAATCATCAATTGACATACCCATTCAATAATTAACCTTCATTTCTACTAACAATCAATCACCCAAACATGAATAAACTTTAATCAAGCATAAACACACAATCAACTCAATTAAACCAATTAAACCAATTAATCTTAGCTTTATGATTATGGTCAAATTCATCAATTAAGGTAATCAATTCAAATTTATCAATCAAACTCCTTAAATCATTCTAAAGAACATCTAATAACCTAAAATCTTGAAATCCAACCATTTTTTCCAAAATTCACAACTTAGCCAAAACTTTCACCATCCAATACCCAACTTTAATTCATCGACCTAACTTTAATTAAACCATCCAACATGATCATTCAGCCATTACAAACATGATCTCAATAATAATTCATCAATATCATTCAATTACTATAAAACCCAAATAATTGAATAATTAACCACAATTTCTAAAACTTCAAAACATTAACAATCAAGCATCCATTTATCATAATCTTGTGATATAGTGAGGACTACACTTATCTCATTTGATATTTGATCAAATTCCTCCTTGGTAGCTTAAAGTTTCCTCCTCATTTTCTTTCTTTCTTGTTTCGGCCAAATCTCCAATTTTTCATCCTCCTTTATTTGCTTTCTTTAAGTGATTCTAGGGTGAATTTGGGGTATATCTAAGGTAGTTTAGGTTGGTGGATAGATTTAATTTGCTTGAATTCAAGTTGATTCACCTTGAATTTCTAATTTTCCATCACCCTTTTTCTTCCTTTTCTTGCCCAATTTAAAGAGATATATTTCCTTGTGATTTTGCCAAGTGTGAGACACTTGGTTTTATCCTTCCTTCAATCACTTCTTTTAATATTCTCTCTAGAATTCTCTCCATTTCTCGTTGATATTTTCTATCTTTTTCTCCTTTTTGCCAACTTAAACTCCCTTTCTCTTGCTTTTTAGTTTAGTTTAAATCTAGATATACGGGACCAATTCTAGTTGAATTAAATGGTTCTTTAATTTTCCAAAACCTTACATTTTGGTCTCTAAACTTCCTTAATTATTTTAATCGAGTCCTTCAATTTAAGTCCCTAAACTTTCAATTTTCAACATTCTAGACCTTATCTAGGCTTTTCCATTTGAATTTTTTAATCACTTTAATCAAGTACCCAATCTTTTAATTGTAGCAATTAAAACTCCTAAAATCTTGTAATTACGTCCTTAAATTATAACAATCATAACAATTAATATTATAAGATCACTAATTCAAGCATTAAATAATTATTTACCTCCGATAATATTTATGCATGCATTAGTTTATTTTATATGCAAATATAAAATATTAATTCATTCTTTAAATAAATGTTATCATATTAAATAATTAAATTATTCATGCAATATATTTATGCTTGAGGAGGTTTTTAGGTTGAGGATATTACATATGGTAAATGATTAAAATTTTGAATTAGAAGAATCACCTCAAATGTTCAAAAAAAAAAAAACTTATATTTGGATCTTGAAATCGTTATGAATGATCATGGTATAGATATTGTAAGAATGAAGTCCTTTGAAAATATAAATCCAAGTGAAAATTCTACTATTTGAATATCTATAATAAAAAAAATAGAAATAACCAATAAGAATCTATATTACTATCTTATTTATCCATGAGAATTATCATCCTAGTTAATTGTTAGGAGTACATGAATTGAAAGCTATATTCATATCGTTAATATATCCTAAAATTTTGTATATATGAAATATCGTTCATCCCTTACAAGTATCAAATGCAATCATATTCTTTGCACTACAAGTAAGAGTGGTTTATACTTCATTTGAAGTATAATTACTGCTTATAAGAATTAAAACTTCAATATTAACATTAGAAAGAAAGACATGTACTACTTTTAATAAAATATTGCATGTATTTAATGTGACCTTGAAGACAAGAATAGCCAAAACTTGGTTTAATCTTGTATTGTCAAACTTTCAAAAGTGATTCTAGGAAAAAAAAAAAAAAAGGCTAAACAAGTGCAACAAGAGGTTACAATCCAAGTAGGACCTTAGGCTTTCAAAATAAAACAAACTATTGGTCAAAGACTAAGAGAACACGAGTTCCTTCCATCCGTAAAGGAGAATTACATGATATAAAAATGTTTTAGAAAATCTACTAAGGTACTTAAAAAGAAAATCAATTCTTGCTCGCATAATGAAGGGAAAAAAAAGCTCTTATTTGAGCTTGTAGAGTTGTAGAGACTCTTGTTTGAGCATGCAAAATTGCAAATTCTAGCTGAAATTATAAGAGTCCGGCCTTTTTTACACAAGGTCATGACCCTAACTTCAAGATCTTTTATTTTCTTATTAACTCTGAAGGCTTTGAGTGGAAAGAGAGTTAAAGAGAATTGAATCATCTTTACAAGCAAAAAAAAAAAAAAAAAAGGATGTAGAGCTAGAATCCTATTGTGTTATGTGAACTTACAATTGTGTGAGTGGACCTTGTAGAGACTATAATACATTCTTGAAAGGCCCAACAACATTTTGGGAGAGCTCAATATTTTAAAGACCTCAAAATATATTAATATAATCCATAGAATGAAGATCCAAAATAGTAGATTTCAAGAAAGTTTTTAGGTTAAATGGCGAAGAAGATGCATCTTCTAAAAAAAGAAAAAAAAAGGGGGGGGACTTTGGATAAGAAGAAGAGTTTATAATTGAAAAAGAAAAAGTAAAGTAAAGAAACTTCTAACAAATGGTGCATTTAAATAGGTTTATAAGAAGTGAAAAGACTTGTTTTACAATAGATATATTAGAATAATCTTGTACCTTACAAATTGGAAGTTAGTTATTAACTATAGAAGAAATTTCTTTTCACACATGAGGTAAACACTTATATATCGAAAGAAAAAGGACAAATGTTAGATCTAAAATTTAATCTAGCTTGCAAACCCAATAAATTACATCATTTAAAAAAGGCATGTTGGATGATTGAGGAATTAAAATCTTTTAGGTGAGAAGTTCATGGATCATAGACTCTTAAAGTTATGACAATTAGATGAGATAAGAATGTGGAAGAACTTTTCTAACAATTAGGAAAGAGGTGGATGCTAAATAAAGTGTGATAATAACAAGAATGAACTGCTATTTGTTAAATTTTCCAACAATTAGAAAAAAATTGGTGATTATAAAAGAACACGGAGCATGATTATATCAATTGTAAAGAAACGTGAAGCATTGAAGCTAGCGCATGTAGTTAGTTGCAAGGAAATATAGAGCATTGCAAGATAGTATGAAAAAATGTAAAGAAATGTGGGATATTGTAAAGATTATAGAGGAGAAAGAAGCTTATAAATACAAGGGGCAATAAGAGAAGATCCAACATAGAGACAATCAATAACTCAACTACCTTGTACACGGCAAGACATTCTAAAAGCACATTCCTATGTTTCAAAACATTTAAAATTTGTTAGGTAGTAATCAAGATAGGTTGATAGTTTGGCTCTTTAGTTCTATAATGTATTTACAACTTGTGTTTGTAATATTCAAGAGCTGAATATCCGTAAAAACATCATCTATGAAAAAAGAGTTCCAATTTGTAATATTCTCCATCGGTAATGATGTTCATTTTGAATTCTATACTTTAGAAAAAGGCGAGTAGAGTACATAAAAAATTTAAGTTGGATCTGTCTTTGCATATTCCCTTACAATAAATCAACTTTTATTCTTTCATTAAAAAATTCTTGATAATCAAACGGATACAAAAGAATCCACGAAATGTAACATTTAAAGTTATTTGGACAGAACATATATATATATATTTTGCAATTTGCAAATAGCGAAACTTTTTGCATCATCTTAATTTCACCATGAATATACATAAGAATGAATGAGTTCAAATCACATAAATTAGGTGTTGTTATCTATTTATTTAATTTTTTTACTGTTGTTCGGTCGTCCTCTTCTACTAAATTAATTCTCTTATTTTATACCATTATAATTCCTTTTTAACCTAACTTTTGGGACAGTTGTCATCATTGATAACCGCTTTTGGCAATTTCTACTCTACTACCCGAAAGGTGTGAATTCGCTATCCGTATCTCACCATGTTTTTGTGTTTCTTCAAACGACATATTTGTGAAATCCTTCTTTTCGGTAAGAAGGATGGCACGACTAGTTTTTTCTTGCATAATAATTGTAATTTTGTTCCCTATTTTCTGCGGCGTTGCTCGGCTATATCGCCTTTCTTTTTGGTAAGAACTTTTTAATTTCTTTAGTTTGAAACATAGTTCAATACTAGAGATATCATAAAAGAAAACACAACTTGATTGTTTTTTGAAACTTTTGTATACGGCATTACTTCACGGGCTAAAAGTTGTTTGTGGGACTCCATGTGTGATTATATTTTTGATCTACAAATGGCAAAGGAGACATTTATCGGTATACGATACTTGTTGAAGAATTCCTAGAGAGTCACGATAACTCTGATGCCAATAAGGTATTCTTACTCGGATATTAGGAAGATAACTAGAGGTTTCAAGGACAAATTGGGTGAAGGAGGCTTTGGTTGCGTGTACAAAGGAAACCTTCGTTGTGGTCGTTTTGCGGCGAGTAAAAATGTTAGGCAAATCGAAAGCTAATGGACAAGATTTCATAAACGAAGTTGCTACCATTGGAAGGATTCACCATACTAATGTGGTGCAACTAATTGGTTTTTGTCTTTGAAGGATCAAAGCGTGCTCTTGTATATGATTTCTTGCCGGATGGATCTCTTGATAGTTACTTATTTTCTCGAGAAGTATCTATCTCTTTAAGTCGGGAAAAGCTGCATGATATTTCCCTTGGAGTAGCTCGTGGCATCGAATATCTTCATCGAGGTTGTGAGATGCAAATCCTACATTTTGATATCAAGCCTCACAACATTCTTCTCGATGAAAATTTCACTCCAAAAGTTTCGACTTTGGGCTTGCTAAGTTGTACCCAACGAATGGCGGCATCACATCTCTTGCTACTGCAAGGGGCACGATAGGATATATGGCTCCTGAATTATTCTACGAAACATTGGACGTGTTTCATATAAAGTCGATGTTTATAGCTTTGGAAAGTCTGCTATTGGAAATGGGCGGCAAAAGGAAGAATCTAAATGCTTTAGCGAGAAAAGTCAAGTCAAATCTATCGGCCATATTGGGTTCATGATCAATTATCTAATGAAAAGGACATAGAAATTGGAGAAAATGCTACGGAGGATGAAAGTAAGATGGTTAAGAAGATGATTATAGTAGGGTTGTGGTGTATACAAATGAAACCTATCAATCGTCCTGCAATGAACAAAGTCGTGGAGATGCTTGGAGAGAGATTTAGAAAGCCTACAATTGCCTCCTAAGCCTATTCTAAACCTAGATGAGACGCCGAGTACAAATTGGAGGAGATTCATTATCCATGTCCGATGATTCTACTGAATCTATGAGTTTGGTTGAAAATGCACACTGAACGATATGATATAAGGAATGCTCTGCTCATATGTAGGAGAAAATGATTGAACAAGAGTGCTTTCGTTTTAGTAATTTGTTGAAAAATATTACGATAATTAGTAATAATTCTGTTATATTATTTGTGTTACTAATTTAGACTTGAAGGTCGTGGCTTGTTTGTTCGAGACTTAGTCCATGTAAAACGGATATGTTTTTGGACTCCATAGCTAGTGAGAGCTAGCGGGCGTTAATCCATGTGTAAAATGAAGCTTTCACTACACATTTCTTTCGTTGATGTTAGTCAATTCGAGGCATCGAGGCCACGGTCAAAATGCCATTCAATCGTAGCTTAGTGCTTACATGAATTACTTAATTGCATTATTATCTTTAATGTCAAAGAATCTCATGTTGGCTTACAATTTACGGTGGGACTCTAGGAGTTGGTGTTGAGGAATCGTAGATACGGGCATATGTTTAAGAACAAAGACATGAGACTATCGTCGACCACTGGAAGCTAGGATAACTTAAAAACCATTTTCACAATTAGTGCACCTTCCCTATTTAGCTAGGATAAATTCTCAACACCAATTTTCACAATAAAATAAAGTTGCACTTAATCAAATACTTAAGGATAAGATTGAAAAATCATTTAGTTTTCATGTACTTCATTTAAAAAGTTAATAAACATTATGGGACATCCTAAAAGAAACATGGATAATCTAAGTGGTTAGAGAAGGTAACATTATGAGGATTTAATAATGATTAGTACAACCAGCTTGTGTATTAGATTTTTTTTAATAATGTTTTGTTCCTTTTATTTCTCTACAAAGACCTCAATCATATTCCGGATTATATATATATATATATATATATATATATATATATATAAAGTGCTTTGAAATTCTATTGGAGAAAATGGACATTAAGAAATAATAAAATAATATATAATTAAAAAAGAAGAAGAATCAAGCTGAGCTGGACGCGCGGAAGGTCTGCATGCATGGGCCAGGTGGCAATCGGGCTCGAGCGCCTACGCTAGAAGCATCTAGCCTTGGACTTTAAAAACGTGGCAAACAACGCGTCGTTTGTGAGGATTAATGCATCGTTTGCCACCAGCGGTGGCATTGCAACTCCGTCGCCGTCGTCTGCAAATGGTCGAAAAAAAAATTAAAAAAAGCTGCTGTCTTTGAACTTCCACACCGAATTTCTACATCTTTTTCACCTAAAAACACCCTAAAATCATTTTAAGAACTTGTAAAAAATCATTTTGAACATCAAAATACGCTCTAAAATAACGCTAGATATGGCTTTCTCTCTCCTCCCTCAACATTCAGAGACCCCGTCGTAAAACAAATAAAGTTTAGGGACTGTTTTGTATAGAATTATAACCTTCAGGACCAAAGTGTCATCAAAGTAATTGTTTTATAAAAGAAAAATCACTCCATTTTTTTTAATAAAATGACGCTGTTTCAAGCTCGAAAATTTTTAAAAAATTATTCATTATATTAACGACTTAACTATAACTATAGTAAAACTATATTTAGTTTTAGTTTTTTTTTTTTTAATAATATATTTTAAAATATAAATATAACCTAGGATAAACAAACTACTGTTTATTTGGAGAATTGGCAAATTAGTGTTAGGCATATAATCCACATGCTGCACATACTGAATACAGAAACTCCTGATCTATTAACAAAGATAACCTCAACTTTGAATTACTCTGCTTCAGAGATGGCTGCCAACTCTTGGCGAAGCTATCACCCTGGTAGAGCTGCATCCGTTCCCTTGGGAACTGTGGAGCTAATAGGCTTAGGAGGCGTTGCCAAGTTGTCTCCTTCACCTCCCGGCATTTGGAAAGCAATTTTCAGGGAAGGATAGTCTTCTGGGTTCCATTGAATGCACCAAAGTCCCACAATTGCTAGTTTCTTTGCAATTTTAGCATCTTCTTCTACCTCATTCTGGGAAGTATATTTCTTCGCCATTTTCTGACTTGTCATCAGCGTTCTTCCTTCCTCCAACCATTTCTAGCTCTAACATTCCAAAACTATACACATCTGAATTGGAGGACACAGTCCCAAAATTTCTTGAGAACATTTCAGGTGCAATGTAGCCAATCACCCCACTCGCTGTTGTCATGGAAATAGCACTTTTGTCCTTGGAACACAACTGGCCAGACCAAAATCTGCAATTTTTTGGGATTGAAGTCCTCCCGCAGGATAGTATGTGGTTTGATATCAAAGAGGAGGATTCTTTGGTCGCACCCTTGGTGAAGATAATCAACACCTTTGGCTATGCCAAGAGCAATATGATGCTGCCTTTCCCAGCAAAGGAAATGGTTCCTTGAATCTGCTGAAGATCAGAACTTCTGCAGTGAATCATTTGGTAAGTACTCATAATCATAAACTAGCGTTCGTTTAAATCCATCAGTACAGAAGCCAATCAAGTTCCTACTTCGTTGACGAGTTCCACAGCTACTGGAATTTCACTGGTTAGCTTTCCTTTGAGTTCTGTTCCATAAGCTCCTTGTCCTTGGCCCAATTCATCCTTGAATTGATTTGTGATTTTTTTTTTTTTAAGACTAGCACAGGTGTATCCTGTCTGCTTCCCGGCTCTGTAATCATTCAAAAATATTTCAACCTTGTCTTGATATTCTCTTTCTATTTTATTGAAACTATAGACGCGGTAGAGTGCATTGACCAGTAGTGGAACAAGGAAGAATCCTAAGATTGCACCTGGATGTAACATTTTGAGTCAACAAACTGAACTTCTTTTGGAAGGAAGGTATTGAACTGTGTAAAATTGAGATTGAGTGGACACCATCTAACCTGCTGTCAGTCGCTTTTTCCATTCACCTGTAAAAGATAAAGGATACTTGTTAGGTTATCTCATCCTAAGAAAATTTCTAAAACCATGACTGATAGCCGGACTCTAAAGAAGTGCAGATGGAAGAATTCCACTTTACAAGAACGATGCCAAAATGTGCTTGGAACCACCTGTTTTGGCCACCTTAGCTAGTAACTAGGAAATTGTGTTCCGTACTTCGGCGTCATAAACTGAGAGTCCATATCTAATCCAAGAATGAACTTGGTTGCAAAATCTGCTTTGAAAATCATGTTAAACCTTTGTATTCTAATGCCATGGGTTTTACGTTCTTAAAATCTAGAAGGGATGATGTTTGGTATTTTATCAGAGCAGGGTCAGTCCCTAAATATTTTATCTGCCTCATGGCCCTCTTTCATAAACTCTATTGTTATGATTGCTCTCAGTTGACTACGACTAGAAGAATCGTTTATGCGTAAACACTCTGAGCTCTATCTAATATGCCAATCTGAAGAGTTTTTGCTGCTCCTAGTTTT